TCTTCAATTTTCAGCTGTATCGCAGCTTTTTAATTATCGCAATCAGTTTTTACGGCTAATGCGTTGAAAAGCATGCATTAATTATTTTCTTAACAATAACAATCAAAACTTGCAGCATAACTGCTATGGAGCGGAAATTCCGCCGAAATATCAGCCATTGGGCTGACTAAATTGACCTCGATTTGATTGCTCCATTACATTAAAATGAAATTGCATTTTTTTTTGAAGTAATATTTCAAATCAGATTTTGCTATATAAACATAATTAATCTAATTAATATAATATTCAGGTGTTTTCTTTGACAGTGTTGTTTTTTCGCCGAGCTCTCGCCACAATTCATTTTTACAGAAGTATTTCTGCGACTGCAAACAGCAGGCTCAAACGTCTTGCTGCCATGAGGCAGTGAACTCGAGCAGCGGCACTTGCCAGGCCAACTACTCTCCATGCGGAAATGTTCAGTGCTTCTGAAGATAGATGAAGATGCGTTCATTTATCTGTATACATATAGTAAAATTAATATTTTTTTTATTCGGGAGTGATTTTTTTTTCCTTTTGAGATATCATTATTTATTCTGATCAAGAATTAAGAATCGCATATGTTTCTATGGGTAGCTGTTTGAAAAATCAAAAGGCACAATCATCGGAATAAAATTCTGTGAATTGTTGCAAAACCGACTCCATAATATCCATGGAAACGACATGGCATATGTTTTTTACTTGAAAAAAAATCAAAGTTTTGGATCATAAATGGAACATAAATCTCCTGTTGATGAATATTTCCGAACAAACTATACTCTTTTTTGTCCCCCATCAACATTCTGGGACAGTTCCGATTTTCAATCAACAGCGTCTCATTTACTTTCAATCATTGTTATTCCTACTAATATATATGCCACATTTCTGATATTGCTTAAAACTCCAGTGAAAATAAAAACAATCAAATATGCTTTGCTGCATACTCATATTTGGTATTTGTTCAATTTAACTGAAAATTTATTTCAAAAATCTATCTAAGGTGTACATTCAGCGATTTATTAACTGGATTTCTAGTGATTCCTTATGTATTTTTCCCATTGTGTTCTGGTTATGGAGCCGGTATTTTAACGATGCTCAATGTGCCTCAATCAATTAAAATCTACTTCAATGTGACAGCAATTGGAAGTAAAAAACAAATTCGGAATTTATTCAAATATTTTCATTTAGCTGTTGGTATTGGAGTTGTTGTGTTATACGAAAACCGTCAGCATAATTTGATCAGAGAAAGTTTATTCCGAATAACTAGGCCAACATCAAGAATTGTGTTTTTTACGCTGAACTATGCTTTTCTATTTTCATTTTGTTTGCTGCTGATGTTCACAATTCCCGATCAATGGCAAAATGTATCATTTACAGGTAGGTTTATTTCTAATAAATAATAACAACAGAGATTCCGCCGAGAATTGCTAATAATGTGTTTTCAGAGAATTCCCTGCCCAGCAGTTGATTTTTTCAAAAGTGAAGTGTTCGTTCTATCGTTAACTTCAACGTTGTCTGGTGAATTACTCCTCCTTGCTCTTTCTGTATTCAGTTGTGAATCAGGATTTTTTCTCTTCCACTGTTTAATTTATCTACACCAATCGGACGGAAATATGAATGTATCGGTTAGAACGAAGCGAATGCAAAAAAAAATTCTAATTGCTGTTACGATACAAGTAATATGAAATTATAATTACCTTGAATTCAATGAATAGTTTTAGGTCGTAATTCCAATTTTGGCATGTGCGATTCCTGTTTCCTATATCACTTTCACGCTATTAACAGATTATTACAATCAAAGTACAAACGTTACAAATTTCATCTAAAATTTGCAGAATTGTTATTCAGAACTAACCAATTCGAATTTCGTTCTTATTTCCATGCATGGTTTCCTTGACACGTGTTGCATTATATTAATTTATCCACCATATCGAGAGGAGACAATGAAGCTTCTACGATTAAAAAGAAATGATACAACTCAAAATTTGTCGTTTTTCGATGCCGTATCGAATGGACTTCAGACAAATATTATTTTTAAAACTATTATATTTATTGTTGTTTGTTTGTGGAATACTGATGTATATTTATCGAACTTACTAATTGATTTTTTACTTACTAAATTGTGAAAAAAATTAGGAAAAAAAGGTGAAATCCTTTGTTAGAATCAGAGCGACTTCGTTTCTAGTCTTAGTTTTTCGAATCGATTGAAATTATTTGTTCCAATAACTACAGTATACTATAGCAGTCACTGAAATCTCAACATTTCGTTTTTCGACTGTAATTTCCCTCAAAGTGTTTGTATTTTCGTACAATTTTTATACAACCTGAAAATGATAATATAAGTTCGTTTAAAATTTAAAAACTGATTCTGAAATAAGATTTTTTTCTTTACACAACGGAGAACAATTGAAAGCATCAAGAAAATAACAGTTGTTCTAAAGTTCTGAAAACAATTCCGATTTTAGAATGGGCTTCAAGTTTCTAATTCAATTTTCATTTTTTTTTATTTTTTTTGAAATGTTGCGAGTCCGAAATGGTGAACAAAGGTAGGCGTGAGAATTGGCGCAATTTAACGAATCCTCAACGAATTCTTTGAATCATAGAGGAAAAATATAGAATTTGGAATTTTTTTCTCGATTTTTGTCTTTTGTTTTGCATAAACTTTTCGAATCAATGAAATGTGATTCGATTTCCTTTTCAACAAGCGAGATTCAATGAAATTTTTCATACGCTGAATTGCTCAACTCATTTATTAAACCGAGGTTTTCTTATAAATTGTGCACTTTTTATGATTTTTTCGCGAAAAGTTTTCAGAAAACAGGTGATCGTTTATTTCTACGTAATCGTCAATACGTTTTTCGAGACAAATGTTACCCACACGCACGTAAATCTACCCAAATTAAGGTGAATTAAAAAATGCCCCACGGCCGGTGCACCGAGTCGCTTTGTACGTCACCCCAACACAGAAATATTAAAAATGAAAAAGACAACATGTGAAAAATGAGTTGATATTACGACCAAATAAAACGAGCAGTCTGCGCTGATTTAAGATTCGCACGTTATCCAATGAACGAAACCAGACATTCCTATAATTTAAATTCAAATTTGAATTCTTGAGCAGCGGCTGTTGATGTAAAGATGGAAGGGGCGATGCTTCCTAAAAATATGTATTTATGTACATACACAACTATCGAACCATCTATTCTAATTATTAAGACGGTCATACCTGCATGTACTTTAGTCCCAAGACAGAGAGAGATGATGAGTGTCTTCGACATAGATAGAAATATGTAGCGTATCTTAAAGTATCTTGACATTTCATTCACGCCTGGATAGAGACAATTAGACTACTTCAACATTATCATGTTTAAAAATTATTTATTTATTTATTTTAATCGCTCATGAAAAATATGAGATTAAAACTGATACTCAACAAAATTTAAATTAAAGATAACACAACTTTTTGAAAATCACCAGTTTCAAGCATTTTCAAAACTAGAAGACAGTAATAACCACAAATATGTGTACCAAATTCTTGTATTTGAAATGTGGAGCATTCAATTATATTATCTTCTTTACCTTTATTTTTTAGATAATTGATAATTTCATAAGGTGGATCTAAACCAAAAGAATCGAAGTAATAACTTTTTTCCTTCATCATTTTATAGCAAACCCAATGAGTGCCCTTATTATTCGAAGAATCAAGATTTACAATTCCGACTTCGTGGGAATGGATCTTATCTGGAAGGTTGTCTCTCATGAAAATACCGCGGAAATGTTTTATTTTCAACTCCTTGACGAGCTTTTCGAGGTCAAGATTTGTCAATGGCTTCATATCTTTTCGGAGGCTAATAGTTGTCATTTATAACATGAAAAATATTCGAAAAATGTTGAAAAATGAAAAATGGGCAAAATGGTCTAAAGGCTTTTTTGACCTAAAAATGACATTTTTCGAAAATGACGCATTTTTTGGTAGTTAAGACACAAAATGGAGTTGTAAATGTTCAAAAATGATTAAAAACTGCAGAAAATCAAGTTTGGGCAAAAAGCTGTCCCAGCGTCAACCTTTTATATACTACTCTCGGTTTCATTTTTTTCAATGGCAATATTAATTTTACAATTTTGTACATTTAAATAAAAAATATGCTAATTAATATAATGATTGATAAAGCATTATTATGGCTGCAAAACTTGTTCCAAAGTGAAACAACGGTTCATACATTCAAAATGACAATTTTTGTAAGTCCATTCCAATAGCGAAATTCGAAAATCAAGTGTTTGCGTAATAAATAACTCAAACAATGAATTTCGAGATTTCATCGGCCTGGAAACCATCTGAACCCACACGCTCATTAATCGCCACTATATTCTTTCAAGTTCGGTATATTTTCAATTAAATAATTCTTGTAAATGATGCATTTTGTCATATAAACTCAAGAAAGTTTAAAGTTTGCTCTTTACCGAATGTTTTTTTTTCATCGGGAACATTTGATTTACGTTTATGGTAGGTAACAAACAAATATATAATTAAATTTATTGATTACCCCCTTTTTCTTGCCCTTTTCCACAATACCCTTCACTTTTTTTTTAGGACACATCAACATAATCGTAAATTAATTCTAATAATTATTGTCCTACAGATTTCATTCGAAAAGGAAATTGGTTTGATGACTTTTTTTGTTTTTCAATGCCCGTTTTCCTATGTATCTCCTACACATTTATTCCGATTTCTACGAATCGTAGAAAATTTTCTCTATTATTAAATCAACAATTTTCAAAAATCGAAAAACGAATTCCATTCATTGTTTTCTTGTCATTTTTTCTTATTGGGTGCTGTTTAGAAACTCGCTTTTGCAGATTTATTTCTCAATCGTGTCGACCGCAAATTTTTTATTGCCTATATCATTCAATGGGCTTAGAAAAGAAAAAGGTCGCTGATTGTCGAGTTCATAGAACATCATTCTCATTTTTTGCAGGCCCTGTGGATGATTCTAACCATATTTGAGTTCCCTTTAGCAATTCTTGCCGTTTTTTCCGCGTTCTTTCTTTTCTACCTCGTTTTTCACCTCAAAACTCTTCAAATATACTGCAGGTGAGAAGCTAACCTCAAATTCCTCATCATTTTAGTTTTATTAGAATATATCTCTATTTATTATCATTTGCAACATTCTTACTCTCGTCTTATATTCTTTCAATTATAGAGTATTTATTAGCGGGCAAATCATTTGCGCTTGTCGAAGATGAAGCTACAAGTTAGAATACTTTCCACTTAATCTTTTTCTTGAAAAAAATCGCACTGCAGCTCGAAGTAAGACGTGGGAATTTTTGCATGAAATCGGGCTTTGTTTGCAATCGGTTTCAATATTATGCTTCGCCTTTGGTAAGTCAATATACTGTTCAATTCAATACTGTTAAAGTTTCTCAAATCACAACATTCGCCATGTGCGAAAAATTAAATCTACCATGTTCTACAAAATTCAATTTGTGCCGCCTAATCAAATATGAATAATAATAATAGTAATATTCAGAACGTTTGTTGGCCACACATTATCAAGAGTTTTATGAATCTGCAAAATTCCGATTCGGCGTTGTTTTATCAATTCCTACATGCTTTTGCGTGTCTATCTGGTTCAGTTCCACAATACACATAAGTAAAACAACTTTGGAAAAAAATTCACATGCAACATGTGATATTTCAGTTGGCGACATGATTTTGGCGACATTCGTTGTTTCGTGCTTTGATATTTTCGGTCTTTCGGTGCTAATTGCTGCCTGGCGACAGAGCATCCGAGATTATTCGAGAACTCAAGGAAAAATCTCGTTGAACAGGCGATATCAAATATCAGTTGTGTATACGACCACGTCTGCCTTGCTACCTGCTGCTTTTGGGGCATCGATCAGCAGAAGTTCGGCGATGGTTCCAATATGGTTTTGGTTGCTTCTTGATATGACGGGTGCCGAATACGGAATTGCTAACTTTTTGTTCAATAATGTACAATTGTCGACAAGCAGAATTCAAAATAATAGGTTAATTTAGATTATCAATGCGTATATAGTTATTCTTCCGTGGATAATCGCTATGAGAAATGCGCAATTACGTCATAAACTACTCAGCATTTATTCGAAATGCTACGACAGCCCGCGTGTGCATGCAGAGCGTGTGGGACCAATTAAAACATTGCAAGGAACTGAGATCAAACCATGTGCCAACCAATCAGACCATTTTAACGAACTAAGAACAATTTGGAATTAAAATCTTCATACATTTAATTATTTCCATCGCAAAAAACGAGCACCTTGTATAATTATAGATGATTGCATTTTTTCAAGGCGGCAATTCAAACTCGAATTTAAACAGTGGGAATTCGGCTACCGTACTCTGGATAACCTGCGAAGCTAACTCACCGTAAATCGATGCAAAACGCTCGTTATTTGCGAATGAAATGCTGTCGACGTCGCGCGACTGCGGAAAATTGGCTACATGCCAAAAATTTTAAGAAGACGTCTCGGCATGCGATATCCTTCAACCTATCCTTAGGCACGGGCCCGTAAATCTAAACTTTAGTTTTGCGCCACCACCATTTCGCCAATTTTCCGCAGCCCGGCGACGTCGACAGTACTCCGATTGTTTTTAATTGTAAATAGCTGTGTTTGAATTGATTTTCCGAAAATAATAATTCCATATAATTGTGATAAGATTTATAATTGGATGCGCAATTTCAAGTTTGCAGTTTTTGCCTCATAATGATTTATTGATTACTACATCGATTTTAAAGACAAAGTTTCCATTGAGAAATTCTCAAATTAGAAGAAAATTGTTGAAAAAAAAATTTTTGTCGAGGCCGTAGTTCGAATTTGAATTTAATCAGTGGGAATTTGGCTACCGTACTCTGGATAACCTGCGAAGCTAACTCACCCTAAATGAGTGCAGGCTGCTTGTTTTTTTTGCGAATGTAATACAATTTCCGATTTTTCGACTCAACTACGTCTATACGTTAAGTAATGAATAAATATTACGAAGCTGAAAATCGCATTGCGGACTTGTGCATTTCATGTCACGAGAATGTACATGTTGTTTACATCGCGATCATTTTTCTCCACAACGAACTATTCTAGAGTTTTCGTTCTTTTTTTTATTTTTCCGATTTCTTATCTAGTTTTAATGATATTTTAAACTTTTAGAGGTTACCTCGCCCCTTTTTTTTATTAATTAGCTCGTATTAGAAGCTGTGCAAATTCTACGCGACAATGTAACATAATGTCTGAAAAAGGTTGTACAATTTTTAAAATTAATTATTCGAATAGAAATTTAAAAATAATGTATTCAATAAATCACTTTGCCGAATTAAACAACTCGTTATAATGCGCACCAAATGCGTAAGCGTACACCGTAGCTTCAACGTAAACCGATTTGTCCAATGACCTGCATGAAACAAAGCTAGTAAGTATGGCTAAAACTAAAATTTACCTGATGTATTCCAGAAGTTTCGAATGCTCAACAAGAATAACTTCGATGTCCTGAATTTTTTGTGCAATATGTTATATATATATATATATATATATATATATATATATATATATATATATATATATATATATATATATATATATATATATATATATATATATATATATATATATATATATATATATATAACAAAATATATATAACAAAAAAAAATATATATATATGTATATTACCTCGGTGCTGTCGAGATGTTGAACTGGCTTCATATTCTCTGGTAAATCGCCATCAATCTCGCATATGACGAAGCATTGAGAGTCATCTGTTAAACCTGGATCAAGGAAACATTCTTTCGATCTGCAAAACCACTTGTTCAAAGGATTCATTAATGAATCTAACTTGAAGAGAACTTTTGCGCAAGTGTACCCAGTTTCCTCTTTTAATTCGCGAACTGCGCATTGTTCGGCATCTTCTCCATTATCGACAAGTCCTTAAAATTTTTGGATTCATACATGTGAACTATTTGAAAACCTGCAGGAAATTCCAGACACATTTTTCCCGTGGGTATGCGATATTGTTGAACTAAAACGATGTAATCTTTAGAATTCTTGCGCACTTTCGCAATGATGCTGACTCCATCGGCTGGAGCTCCAACTGGTTTTGTGTTACGATGAACAGATTGCCAAACCTTTAGAATGCAATCCAATTCAAGAAAAAATGTGACAATCTTACCCCTTTTACTCCCGCTCGAGTTTCAAAATGGATTTGTCTTGTCTGTATCCATTTCCCATCGAATACCACACTCGGATCGGACAAGATATAAGGACAACGTACTGGAGAACTCGTCATATTTTTTTCACTGCGACTAGTGTCAAAGTTTTTTTTGAGCACGCAGAATACAATGAAATAAAACTACGTCTTGGAGCAAACCAAAAAAACGAAAATGACTCAGACAATAACATTTACACGCAATTACTTTTTTATCACAACAATAATGAAATTCAAATTTATATACACGGTTGACCTGATGTGGGAGCACATCCACTATCACCATAATTTCTCGAATTGATCAAGTCATCAACCCGAAGGTCTTCCCAAGCTACTCCAGCTCCAGCTCGGCATTCACGAAGGTCGGGTACCGGATGCCATTGATTTGTCAGCGGATCATAGCGTTCGGCAGTATTCAAATATCTTGAATCAAATATCAACGAAATAATAATGTATAAGTATTACAATACCTTAAACCATCGTGCCCGCCAATTGCGTAGACATGTCCACCCATGGCTGCAACGCCTACACCACCACGTGCGCTGTTCATACATGAAATTGGTTGCCAAACATCTTCATCTGCATTATATCGCTCGCACGTCAACAGCGGTGCATTATCATCAAATCCACCGATTGCGTATAAGTACCCATCCAAGACGCAGACACCAGCTCCAGCTCTATAATGAGTTTAACGAAATGAACAAAGAAATATTGGTTACCTTCGATTCTGCATACTAGCAATTGGTTTCCATCGATCCAATATTGGGTCGAATCTCTCGCATGAGCTCAGTGAAGAAGTTCCGTCATTTCCGCCAATTGCGTATAAATGCTTCCCTGAAAATTTGAAAACAAAAATAATAGTTTACCAAATAGAAAGAATGTTACCTAACGCAGATACACCGACTCCGCCGCGCTGAATTGTCATCTCGGCAACAATACACCACTCGTCATTTTCAATATCGTAGCGTTCAACGGTCTTAATCATCATAAAATGTTTCTTAAGTTCAAATCAACCAAACCCTGTAACATGTTGAATCATCAAGTCCTCCGACAGCGTATATTGCCGAGTCAAGCGCTGTCACAGCGATTCCTCTACGAGCAAGTCTCATGGGTGCAATTCTTCTCCATTTACCAGTTTTTGGATTAAACACTTCTGCAGATGCAAGATGGGTCACTCCATCGTGACCACCAATGGCGTATCTTAACAGATGGAATATGTTCAAAATGAATGATAAAAAAATTAATTACAGTTGACCGAGAGCGCTAACTACACCGACATGCCGCCGTTGAGTTGTCATATCATCAATCAAAAACCATTTGTTTTTTCTCCAGTCGTAAGCTTCAACACTTCGAAACGGATCTCCAAGTGAACCTCGTCCTCCAGCACAAAAAATGACTCCAGCAACAGACATTCGTGGTCCCATTTTGGCCAGAGTTTTCGCTGAGACTGGTATAGTTTTTTGAATTGAAGTCTGAAAAAATTATTATTAATTTAAAAAAAAACACATTATTTTTTACCGATGCCGCATACTGGCTGCTTCCCATATCATTTTGAAGATTGCAAGTAACCGACGCCACTTTCTTCTGCGGCTGCATGATTTCCAAAAGAGCTTCGGAAACACAATCTTGACATTTGCGATTCCCTCTGATCAAACGATGCACATTGACGACTTGAATCAGATAAGAAAGACCAAGAAGCGGAAGTCGAACAGTTTCAAAGAGTTTCGAAAGGTATTGTAAACGATTGACTTCATCCGATTCAACCCAATCGATCAATGTTTCAAACACCTCATGTTCTTCGCGAATATTCAAATCACATCGTACCAATAGTGCATGAAGATGCTTAAATGAAATCTTCATAAATTCTTCTCTCTGTTTAATCGCTGCAAAATGGTCGGCAGCGAAGTTTTCAGTCGCTTCAATAAGTTGGGTGCAGTTGTATATTTCAGCAAATTGTCGAAGAGAAAGACAATTTTGAACTGTTATTATTTTGGTCAAAAATTGTTGGCAAGCTGTGACAATGTTATCAATCTGAAATTTTTCATACGTAAACCTTTTGTCGCATATTGTACATGCATTACTTGTAAAACAGAGGCAGAAAATATAAGTTGCTGTACATTTTCACTTGTTATTGTAATCTCATTTGAATATATAAAGCTGATTAAATCATGAAGCGATTCTCTAGGTATATCCTAAAGATATTTTGAAATTATCAATTTCCAAAATAATAAAAATCACAAAACCTACATTCAAAACAATTCTCTTTTTTTCCATTTCAAGCATTCCATTGGTGAACATTGCTCGAAAATAAGGACTTGCTGCAGCTAATACGCAACGGTGCGCTTTTATCACATCGCCATCAACCTGAAAATTGGAAATCGACTCAATTTTTGAAAGATGGTTCAACTCCATTCAAGAAATCTCTAAAAAATAATTTTTTAATTTTTTTAATAGATTAGACAACATTTATCCCGATCATATATACATTTGAATAGTATTCAATCGATTGATTAACTTACTTCCAACTCGACATCGCATAGAAGGTCGTCATCACGAAACGTTTTCACAAGCCTCATTATTTCAGCCGGCTGCTCAACATTTTTGACACTAACCAAATTATCAGGGAATACATTAGTTACTGAAAATATGTATTTAAGTTGTGAATAATTATAAAACTGCTTACAGTCAAGGCCAATGAAAGGTATTCTCACACCTCTGCAATCCCTTTTTTCACCACGTAATATCGAAGGATTCTGAGCAAAGTCGACAGGGCAATACGTCATATTACTAAAACCATCTGGAAAAAAAACAAGAAAATGAAATAAAACCAATCGAGAAACCTTCGCCAGTATCCCACATTTTGGGCATCTCAAAAATTTCAGCGCGACTCAATTTTGTCGGATGGATAGCTGCAAACGAACCTAAAACCACCATAAATGAGAATTGAAATTTAATTAAAATAATTTTTGTTAAAAAAACCATCGTTTTTATTTTTTTAACGTCGTTTTGTTGATCTTACAAGGGAGGTTTTTTGTAGTCCCTATTAAATTTTTTGCATACAGATTCTTTAGAAAATTTCCAACCGAATGAACTAGGTCCCTGTGCAAACTTCTAGTTATCGAGATATGGACCTTCAAAGTTTTAGCCCCTCCTCCGTGAAATTTTTGCATGCAAATGAGCGGAAACTTGAAATGAAATAGTGGGATGTCTTATATCGCGCGTATATCCTGCTTCGACAAGCAGTTGTGGTTCAGTGGTGCAATCTGTATGCAAAAAAAATTTAAGACGGACTGCAAAAAGACCTCCTTGCCAATAAGGAAAAATGAAATGAATTCATCGATATACTTTATTTGGATTTTCTCCCTTTTAAGACAATGTGGAACACATATGACTAAGAAAAAAGACCACACAAATGTTTTCAAACATACCAAAAATAGCCCGTGCATAAACAGGAGAATGTAGCGAGTGCTGGAAATTGATTTCAGAATATTTTTGAATAGGATCCTGAAAGCAAAATAACAGCGTAGAAACGCATAAAAACACTAAAAACGAACTCCAAATAATGTGAGAACGGCGTTGGTGAGTAGATGCAAAAAAGAACAATAGGAAAAGTTAAGTGTAACCTTGAACGCAACGAAACCTTTACCTCATAACAAAGAAAATTAGATAGTATTATGTATCCTCGAGTAGATGAAAAAAAACGAGTTTCTCAAATTTGTCAGGTTCCGAATATTTTATAAGAAAATGCAAAACCAACTAAAATAAAAAAAGAAATGCATATTTTGAAGGCAAGAGAGCTCAGGGAGACAGAGTGGTGGGCGAGAAAATTGGCCAACGGAAAATAGAAAGAAACGAAAGCAAAAAAGGCGGCGAGCACGAGGACTCCAGAAGGCATGAGCACATGCAAATAACTCTTGATGGCTTTGTGTGACACCCGAACAATCTTCGAATGCAATTAATCAAACCGGTACTAGAGTTGAGCCGAAATGTGTTTAACTAAAGTGTAGTGCACTGATACGATTGGATAAACGAACAGAAAAAAAACGACTGGAATGCGGACTACAGCCGCAAAACAAAAACAACGGATAATTGCATCTATACACCTAGTTTATTGAGCTTTTCATATCTTAATAAAGCCTCTTCGAAAAACGGAATTAAAATAAATCGTGACTAGCCTTTTATCGAGATGAAACTTTATCAGTTACGCCTTATCATTAATCTGATTTGTTATTGTTTATATTAAATTCGAGTTTTAAATTAACACAATTTCAAATTTCATTAAGTTTATAAAAAAATGTGGATTCCAGACAGAAGCTCGGGTATTCATTTCGTCACCCGATTAAACATCGCCAAAATGAAAAGTGACATAAATCATTGAAAACGGCAAAAAATCATCGCAGTCTCTCAAGATATGCGAAAGCGAATTATTCTTATAATGATGTGGTGTTGCTGATTATGCAAGAACTGGACTTCGGCAAGCAAGCAGCATTTCTTTTAAATTACCAGCGGAATGAAAAGTCGCGACGAATCGAAAGCGAATATTACGCAACTATAATCTGCACTGACGATCAATTTCTCCGTTGAACAATACTTGAGTGGGGTGGGGGACAAGGCGCACATGTCAAAAAAAAACCGTGGCACACTTTTTCACGCACACGCGTGCTCCTTGAGCCAGCTAGTTCTATTTGTCTACTAGCTCATATGCGCCTATGAACACGAAAGTTTACAAATGAACACAAAAAATGGCAACTCTTCATGAAACATAAAGATAAACCAACAAACGGAAAACAATAAAATAACAAAAGCACTTTCATGCCTCATGCTGGAATCGAACCAGCGGCCTTCTGTTTACTAGACAGACGCTCTGCCACTGAGCCAATGAGGCGGGCAAATGGGCGGCAGAGAGAGGCGTATTTGTACCTGAAGACGGCGTAACATGTGATTAGGAGGTGTCAGGCGCATCTCCAGTTGTTTTCTTCGGCCGCATGCTATACTTTCTACGCTCATAAAAATTGGGACAAATTCCAGCCATTATCTGTTTTCGGGTCAATTGAATATAAAATGTGATATCCGGAACTGAAAGAAAACTCGGTCTAAGTCAACATTGCTTGCAATATATATATTGTCTAGACAAACAACTTACGATTTAAATTCTTTTTTGCGTTCGGTGCAAAAGTTGAAACCGCATCATTCACCTTATCCAAAATTGTGCTTTTATCGATTCTATCACTATGTCTGGTTTGAAACTCGACAGAATATGTCGGCAATGTTCCATTTTCTCGTGGTTTCAAATTTTCAGAAACAATTATCATAATTAAATCGGTCAACTCGTTGATATCAACTTTTACCGTATACTCAACTGGAAATACTCGCTGAAGATAATGGCATCTTGGAGATTTTTGAGCCAAATCAACCATTTTCTCAGCGAGAAGATTTATGTTAGCATCTGAATTAATGTGTTTGAGATAAATGCTTAATCGATACGAACCTTTCACACTGATGAAAATGCAATTCTTTAATCCTGTTTGGATATGTCTAACGCGTTGACGTTTCTCATGTTTTGATTTTTTCGATTTTCTTTCATTGTTGCATGCCTAAAATCAAACTGAAATATACGAAAAACCGTTCACAAACCTTCTTAAACGCAATATCTTCATCAGATTTTTGGGAATCATCTTCATTTACAATGCTTGGATTTGATGTGCTGATTCCATTGGAGTAATCGTCCAATAATTCGTCAATAATACAAAAAGCTTCATAAGCAGCTTGTTTTGCGCGACCTTCACATGTGAAAAATAGACCGCTAGCGCCAGGTTCCACAGAATTTTTATTGAATCTGTACAAAATTAAACGATAAAATCCTTTAAAAACGACATACTTGTTGTTCCCATAATTATGCGTTCTTTTTCTGTTTTCATCACCCATCTATAAAATATGTCATATTAAACTTTTTTTTTAAATATTATTAAAAAACGGAAAAATGAAGAAATCGACAGAAAAAAATTCAAAACTTTAATGACGTCATGACGCAAGACGGGCATCGCGAATTTCTCTTCCACGGCCATTTATATTTCTCGGTCAACTACAGATTTGCAAAGAATCTGTAATACAAAATGACAAAATGAACGAAGTACCGTTATTGATACCATATACTCATTGAAAGTGAAATCACTGAAAAGAAATTGAAAGATGAAAGGAAGGTTTTAAAAATTATATTAGATTAGGACATAAAATTTTAGAGCACGTTGAATGTAATTATAGCCTGTTTCCGAAAAATTCGGCTACCAGAATCGGTTGTGACGAGACTCTATTCCAGTCTTTTGATTTTGCCTCGAGGAAGTCGTGCAGTAGTGACTGCGTAAATTATGTTCAAACTCTGCTAGAGGTGAGCAAAAGCTATGCTGCAATTCTGTTCAGACCCCTGATCTGCAGAATTTTAGGCGCAGGATTTTCATGAATGTATCTATTGAATTATGAATCCAAATTATGAAAGAGTAAAGAAAATGATAGGGTGATATTAAAATGAAGTGAAAACACCGTGCCGCATGTGATTTTTAAGGTAGTGTTTTTTAAGTGTAGCATTTTTTGGATTAACAAAAACTGAGGTATACTAGTATTAATATTACTCACCGTTTTCTTTCCCATTAAACAGCTCTTCAAATACTTCGAGTTTTGAATAATTAGTGTTGTTCAGGGCTTCCTGAAAATCAAGAAGAATGCTGAATGACGAAGTTTACTACGCGTCTTGTTTTATCGACATCTCTGCGTCTCTTTTACCTTCCAGCTATTTTCTCACTGCAAACAATAGTTCATTAGATGGCCTCGGTCTGAATTTCCGCAAAGATCTTTTGTGAATAATCAGGCTTCTAGTACATTCCCACCAATCTTTTTTTAATAGGAAAACCTGAATCCCAAATCGATGTGAAAATGATATTCCCAAATTTCGCTTTCCACTATCACGTTTTAATATTGTGCAATGAACAACAAATATCTGTCATATGCCTGTATTAATTATTTATTCTTCAAATATTGCAGAAAAAATCAAAAATGTTTTGAGTTCTTTTTTCTCCACATCTTTGCTGGATTTTTGGTTGGGAAAATCTGAAAATTTGAATGTTAAAAACTGTTCAATCGAATATTTCATGCCTGTGGAAGGACTCCTTTTCTAAAATTTTGGCTCGATATATTCGAGGTGTACAACGCTGAAAATCCCGAATAACTCGTTGTTAAATCCGTTTTGAAGAAAATGAAAATTGATGGTCCCGTGGACGTGACTGAAGGTGGACGATTGGTTCCCGAAAAGCTGCCAATTAGCGGATATGAGGTATTGGAACCGTCATAGATGTACACGACATCATATCCGTTTTCAGTATTGAAGGCAACAAATTCCAGTGAAATCCTAAAATTATCAATCAAATTCCATTATTTTTTTAAGAGAAATAGTGTAAGCAGAGGAAACCTAAATAATTTAACGAATACGCCTTTTAACACATGTTTTCGACTTAAGTTGCGGCAAAAATGTTTGAAATTAATGCTATTTTTAGTGAATAACAATACGAAACCAAAAAATGTGGTGCAACGATTATTATTTTAATACTTACACATGATCTTTTTCGGCTAGCAGGAGATAAGAGCACGATATATTATTCGGATAATTCATCGGAAAATTCGGCGATAACACTATTCCAAACTGTTGATTGTGTACTGGACTTGGACACGAATTTTCTGGTGTATAAATGGTGCCTTCTGAAAATAAATCGTTTTTGAAGGAAAATTGAAAATGTGATACCAGCAACACTGTCGTATTGAATGGCGAATCCTCGATAAACCGTCGTTAAGTCAGTTTTGAATATTAACGTGGCTTTTGTATCAAGGATATCCAAATACTCTCCTGTTTGTTCACCAGAATATCTAAAATCAATTTCCTAATAAAACCACGGAAAAGTAAAATAAAAATACGTTTTGAGAGAAACTTTGTTTTCTCCGATTCCAGTGAACACTTCAAGAGAATCATAAGGATCTTCAGTTAAAAAATCGAGAAATGAAAGGTGAATGTAATTTCCATTTTGGACCTTAATTGGGCAATTGTTATTATGATCAATTAAACATTCCGAAATTTACCGAAATTGTGATTTCCAGATTTTCATTATTCTCGTAACTCTGTGGATAGTTTGTAGAATAAATGATTCCGGAGTTCTGTGAATAGCTTATTTGGCCAAATGCCAAATTAGCAAATAATGGAAGTATAACAAACACCAAATTCATCTGCAACAAAAATGTCTATTTGAGTTTATGTGTGTTCGAAAAAGTCAGGAGACAGGTCGGATTCAATTCAAAAAATGGTGTGAAATTGTCATTACAGCTGAGTAAACAACGAAGCGAAAGGATTAGTTGCATACATTCTTTGAATAACGCTGCTAGGTGAAACGGTTTAATGATAACGTTGATGAATCCGGAAGTACAACCAGAATTTAAAACACGTTCATTGATTATGATCAATTGATGACGAAATTTGAAATTTTGTGATGTCGAAGTGTGAACATTTTGGATTATGAAAATGGTATCAAATATCACAAAAAGGTGTGTAACATCGTATCAGAAATGATAATTCACCAGGATTCGCAAACTATCATTTTCCATTTATGCGTCATACTGAGTAACAATATTGAGAGAAAGGGGGACTATTAAAAACAAAAAATGTATAGCAATAAAAATTTTTTTAAAACGAGATCTCTCTCTTTTATCGACTTGCTTAACCAAGTGTCATTAAGTTGATGAGAGCAGAAGCCCAAAAACAAGTGTTCTCTAATTGTGTAAATTCTTTAGAACAACTTCATCGTTGTTGTTCTAACGCTATTTCGAAGCCTTATGAAAATTTCGGATTGTTGTTATTCCGGAAAATTCACCCACAATGCAATGTTGTTGTGTCCTTGTGAACGAGACAACGTAGAGAATATATTAGTTGGACGCAATAGGAATAACTCATTATTGAGCGTAAAAAGGGGTTTTTATATCGCTCCTATGAAACGTGTGTCACGTGACGTGTCAAGGCCACGGCTCCAACATCTCCCTCGCTAGTTCGAAACATAGGTGCTTCGGGATGGATTGATCTGTAGTCATCTGACCGGCTTCGGGATCCTTGTTGAACGACGTAGAACAGGAGATGGGGTCCTTTGAATGGCAGTTGTGATATGCAAGTCCGAATCCATGTCGATTGGCATTGGGATTTCATATAGGTCCAGTAGCGTCTCAGTCGCGTTCCAGTCGTTCCTAGGTCGGAGTTGGTTAGCATGGCGAGTCCATAGTTGTCCTTGACACTTGACGCGGTATGTAACTTTTTCTGTATGTTCGACGATGGTGCCAGCGGTTCATGTTGGCTTGGAGAATCGCAAATCCTTCGCGAAAATAGCGGTTCCCTCTTCGTAGGCAATGTTCCTTGCTCCATGATGACGGTTGAATTGCGATTCCATTTTCTCGTTGCGTGGTCCAGGTGTAGTGGTTGTCGGCAACAGCAAAGCCAGGAGCGTCCGCATTGGTCTTCCCAGGAAGTACTCAGCGGGGGATTTGGCATCCGTCCAGCTGGGCATGGTGTTGATCGATAAGCTTGGAGAAACGTTTAAAATTCTTCTCGCGATGGTTCTTCTCCTTGAAGCTTCCTGATACCTCTCTTGAATGTGTCGGCAAATCGCTCCGCTTGCCCATTTGGTTTTGGGTGGTAGGGCGGTGTCCGAATGTGATTGATTCCACGTTCTGCGCAAAATTGTCGCAATGAGCTTGCCGTAAACTGTGTTCCATTGTCCGTTGCGAGGGTTTCCGGATTTCCGAATTGTGCGAAAATCTTCTTCAGGATTGTCATCGTTGCTGTCGTCGAGATGGTTGACGTCTCGTGAATTTCCGGCCATTTCGAGTAGGCATCCACTATAATCAGGTAGTACGATCCATCTACGGGTCCAGCAAAGTTGGCGTGAACGCGTGTCCAGAGGCGGCAGGCCATGATTGAAGTTCCGCTTTGATGGGGTTCTTGAGTGACATCTTGAATCTTTTGAACAAGAGCTCAATAAATGTTTTGCGTTTGATGAAATTGGACACGTATTGGGGACGATTGCAACCTCAAGACAGCACAGAGACAGATTTCGAACGGTATGTCGCACGTCGCCGGACGCCCATTATACAGTACTGGCCATAATGATGTTCGCCTAGTGTTTTTTAAGCGTAACTTGGCTCAAACGCGGTCGATCGGGCTGAAATTTTTACTGCGAACACTAAACACAGTTGCGCAAGCTTTCATTCAACAAAATTGCATCATGCTGAAACAAAAATTTTTTTTTTCAATTTTTTTGGTTTTTTTTCGATTTCACCAATTTTTCGATTTTTTCAAACTTTGTCCATAAAAATTTTTTTATTTGAAATTTGAACTTGAAACATTTTTTTAGTAATTTTTCAACCTTCTGGAAAGAAAAATTTCACGGCGGACGTTCAAAAAGCGATCGTCAGCGGTCATTAGTCTGGGTCATCCAGCAGCTCTCTTGCTCAACAGTTCCAGTGCTCGACGATCTCATCAAATGTTTTACCCTTGATGGACCATATGATTTTAAAATAAATTCTGACTTACAATTAAAATGAAACTTTTAAAGGTCTCGATTATTCGCGCTACGAATCCTTCCAGGATCGAATGGCAAAAATGAGCGAAGTGTGGCACAAAGAGCATCTGATATAGAGCTTGCTTCCATTAATTGGAAATGGAATTATAGTAGTATTTATCATAAATAATGACGAAAGAATTGAATTTCAGGAAAAGCTGGAGAATGGTATTCAGTTTTTAGATGTTGGCTGTGGACAAGGGTTTCATAGTCGTATGTTTGGTAAACGGCAGAAAATAATTCTTAACATCCTGAATATAATTTTAGCCAAAAAGTACCCTAAATCGAAATTTATTGGATTGGATATTAGTGAGCATGCAATTGAAAGTGCCAAAAAAACCAATGAAGAAAACGGATCGAAATTCGAAAATCTCGAATTTATTGTGTGCGATGCCAGCAAAATGCCTGATTCTTGGACAAATCAATATGATGTTGTGTTCATATTTGATGCATGCCATGATCAAATGAGACCAGATTTGGTGACAGTAGTGCAGAAAGTATCAAGACCAATTCGAATGTTTTTCAGTGTATTCAAGAGATCCATCGAGTACTTAAACCGGAAGGAATTTTCGCTTTAATAGAAATTGAAGGAACTAGCAATGCTTATCAAGTAAGATTGCGAAAGAAATAAAAATAAAAATAAAAATCTAGGATAAGAGCAAGTACGGGCAACGCGCCACTTATGCTTACGGAGTTTCGATGTTCCATTGCCTTCCAGTTGGCAGCAATTGCAAAGGTATTTTTCGGCTTTTTTTCCAAGATTCTACTATTTTTAGATGCTCTTTGTTATGGTACAATGTGGGGAGAGAAGCGAGCAACGGATCTATTGAAGAAATGCGGATTCGCAAATCCGCAAGTTTTTCCGACACCATTCTTCCCTTCGAATGTTTTATATTTAGCAATCAAAAATTAGAAAGTCCTTGAGAATGCTAAGTGTTTTTATATCGTTGAATAACAGTGTATATTTTGTTCAAGTTCATTGGAAAGCTATTAGCATTACTCCAGTAAATGCCATGAACAGCTGAATTTCATTGGCCATGTTTCGTTGGCTGATGGTTACATTTCGCTTTTCGGACGCACTATCAATATCGAGATTGCAATAATCCCAATCACATATGTAATGTTCCATTTCTGCAAGTCGAAAATAACCAGAATGAAGCCGAAAATCGCCTTGTTCGTTGGCTGATATGCATCCTTTGTAGTACAATATCTCTTCAAAATATTCGTTTTCGAAATACGATTTTTCAGTAATTGGAGAAATGAAGCAAAAATGACCCGAGCAGACACATGAAATACAAAATGTTTTGATAATTGAAATTATATTTGTTTGCCTACCATCTGATCCAGTTTCATTCCTCAAGGACATGTCTTGAAGTGCGAAATTTGATGTGTACGCCCTAATTTCAACTCCATTCGTATAACATTTGACAGTCGGATTACTAATTGGAAATGGCAAATCAGCAGCGGTAGGATTATTGCAATCAGTATAAAATTATAAATATTTACATGCTAAAAATATTATTTCGAATAGTTTACCGTATTGCATTTGCAATGTATATGATAGTGCGTCGTCTCGCTTAATGTGACATTGTAACACGCGTTTGCAAAAAATGATTCAGCAATATTTTGGTACGATGGAGTATAAAACTGCTTGAATATGATCTGATATGTGCTTATTAAATGAATAATTGCTAGCTAGAATTAAAAAGAAGTACCGGTGCATTAATTGGACTATCAGCCGTTCCAATCGTTTCGTCTGGTAGGTTAACGGGCATTTTTCCAGTCCGCAAATCCATGTACAAATTGTTTTTTCGAGACAATATGCAATTGTTGCCAATTTTCGATACAATCGTTTTAAACGTCGCCAATTTGCATTCGACAGACGGCATTTGAACTAACTCTTTGCTCATGTACATATCGCGAACATTGCACAAATCGCTCCTAAAGTGATTGTTGTCAGCGTCACAAAGTGTGTCTAAATATAAGTATACTGGCAATAGCAGAAGATCTGATCTTCGTAATCAAGCAAACAACCTTCGTCAATTTTTTCAACTCCAGAGACGCACGTCTACAAAAATAGAAAACCGTTGTTTTGAAATATGAATCACCTGCATGATTTCGGGTGAAGAGAATCTCGAATATCTCGAAATAACACAAATATCGCCAGTGCATGTTTGGCTAAATTCATAAAACATTTTAACAATATTAATTACGAATTTTAATGTTCCATCTCTTGCTCAAAAACATTTAGAAAGTAATGTTTAAATCACTCTCCTAGATGACCGATATCACCCACTTTTCTCCAATTTTTGAAAACATTCGCGAACCACTCAAATGGCAAGTCAACGAAAAAACAATTTGGAATAGAGAAGCAAGAATGATCAGCATAGCATATGATTAAGAAAGTGATTGAATGCGGCATTCGAGAACTCATTTCAGCTGTCGATTGGAAAAAACGCAATATGCATTCATAACTTTATAAATGTTTTCGGAAAAAAAAGATTATGCGAGACATTTTTTAGTTTTTTTTTTCAGGTCGGCACCTCTTTGGCGAACACGGGCCACTTCGGGCCTTGATACAACTTTAAGCTTACTCCACGAAATCAAATTCCAGAAAAAAAAACAATTTCGTAATTTTTACGCTTACAGAAATAAAAAAAAAGGCTTACTTTTAGCGATATTTTTTTTTTACTGAGTCGCAGAGAAAAAACGACAAACGGCTCATGAACGTGAATAAATTATCTACTTCATAGGACTTCATCACAAATTTGAAATAATACCAGCTAATCGAGGTGTGTATATAAATAAAACATAGTTTCTTAAGAATTTTTAAAGATTTTTTGAAGACAGAAGCCATCACAGGTTAATTTTAAAATTGTATGATATTTTGCCCTCTTTTATGTTTTATATGTATTATATTTCCTCCTCACCCCTCTTTTCGATTGCTATTCTTAGAAATCGGTAGTGAAGAAACGGTAGTAAAAAATCTATGTTTTCGGTAGCGAAAATGTGGTAGTGAAAACCTGTAGCGAAGCGAAAAATTGGTAGCAAAACTATTGGCCGGGCGAGGAAGTTGAAATCGCGAAGATCGTGGTGACACGAGTACTGCAGCATGTTCCAGCAGAGCAGGTCGGAATTATCACCTTCACCATGGCGCACTGCAATCTCCTTCTCAATGCACTTACTTACTTAGTCACTTAGTCGGTTCGTCCTTCGCCTGTTGAGACGCGAACCACAGCTTTGCAAGTTTTTCGGTCCTTGGCTTGGGTGGACCAGGTGGTGATAACGGCTCCTTCAGCTGTTCTTGTAGTGATCTCCTTCCGAAGCGAGTCCGACCATCTCATGGGAGGCCTTTCTCTTGGCCGGGTCCAATTCCACGGCCGCCACTCTGTTAGAAGAGTAGTCCATCTTCCATCTTTTCTTCTAGCAACGTGTCCAGCCCAGGTCATCTTCCTCTTCGTGATGTGGTGTAGGGGGTCCCGAACTTTAGACATGATGCGGATGCCCTCTCGATGAAGATCTTGTTCACGTTGTTGTGATAACGTGAGGCCAACCAATCTTCGCTCAAGCGCAGCGTGACTAATTTGGACTCTTTCGGCAAGAGCTTTGGTGAAGGTCCAAGTCTCTGATCCGTAAGTCAGCGCTGGGAGAACGATGGAATCAAAGAGCTGTGCGCGGGTTTTGTTACAGGAAATCAAATCGGTGGTGTTCTTGATTCCATTAAACGCTGCCCAAGCTGCTCTTCTCCTTCGGAAGATCTCCTTGACTAGCTCGTTTTTGGGGGTGAGTAGTCTTCCAAGGTACACGTATTCGTCAACATCGTCAATGATACTGACCGAATTCTGGTGCGTTAGGGTAACCTTGGCGGAGTCTGCGAAGGGGTTACGTAGGACTTTGGTCTTTCCAGCGTTAATCTGGAGCCCTACTTGTTCGCATCTTGCAACCATCTCACTTAGCATCTCGGATGCCGCTTGCAGACTGTGCGCTATGAGCACGACGTCGTCTGCAAACCGCAGGTGTGTGAGGTTGCGGCCATTCACTCGTAATCCTGGAGTGTTCGTATTGTCTTCTGAGTCGTTTTTGAATTGACTCCAAGACAATTCACGGAAAACTTGCTCCAGGCACGCGGAGAAAAGGTTCGGCGAGATTGGGTCACCTTGCCTTACTCCTCTTCGAACAGGTATCTCTACCTGTCGATGGAATGGCGTGATGCTTGTGGAACAGTCAGAGTAACAACATTGGAGTAGCTGGATATACGCTTCTTCAACGCCTTGGTCTCTTAGGCTCTGCCACACTGCTGAATGCTCAACACTGTCGAACGCCTTTTTGAAATCAACGAAGACAAGTGTGAGTGGGATTTGATATTCTCGTCCCACTTCTAGCAGTCTTTGGACAGAGTGGATGTGATCCACTGTTGAGAAGCCCTTGCGGAACCCAGCTTGTTCTACAGGTTGATTGGCTTCTAGTTTACTCCTGATTCTATTCAAGATGCATTTTGTGAAAGCCTTGTAAAGAACAGGGAGTACCGTGATTGGCCTGTAGTTCTCCAGGGAGTATCTATCACCTTTCTTGATGATGATAGTTGTCTCTGACTTGGTCCACAGTCTCGGTATTGATCCGGTTTCTAGGTAGCGGTTAAATCGGTCCGTTATCAGCGCGATAGTGTTTTCGTGGCAGCATTTGAGGAAGTCTGCGCTTATTTTATCACTACCAGCTGATTTCCCATTTGGGAAGGACCGAAGTGCCGAAACGATCTCCTCTCGTAGAAATGGAAGGGGCCTATCCTTGACTTGCGTTGTCGTAGGCGTAGGCGCTTGTGGGGCTCTACTCGCAAAGAGCTTCGTGTAAAACGATTCCACTTCCTTCTCCATTTCTGTTCTAGAGGTGAGAGTTCTGCCTGTAGTAGAGCATTTGAGGCATGGAATCAGTGATTTGTATTCGTTCATGTCTCGCGCTACTCTCTTCAAGCTTTTGCGTTGATCGGCTGCTCCTAGTAACCGGGAATTGGTGAACTCCTTGTGATCTCGTTCGATTGCTTCTCGGCACTGTTTTGAGAGGTTCTTGAAATTGGGATCGGACCTGCTCATGTTTCGTCTGCGCGAGAGCAATTGTTGTGTTTCGACAGAGATCCTATTGGTCCGGTGGTTTGATGGTTTAACAATGGCTTGGTCTTGTAGTTTCCTGAGTAGCGTTGTTAGATTAGAGTAATCTTCGTCAACGCTGTTGGCTACTGGAAGACTAACAATCGAGCTTTTTGTTTTAGCCATCTCCGGGTTCAATACTTTCTTTGGCGCCTTTCTCTTTCTGCTTTTATCGTACTTCAGCCAATTTATGTTGAAGTGGATGTTCGCACGGAGAAGGCGGTGGTCGCTTCCTACTTTGTTTCACAGAAGGTTGCGAGGAGTTCACAAGCGTCATTGCGCGGTTCCATCGAATTGACTCCGATGAACCGCTCATTCTCATTACTTCTTCTGGCTCCTACGAAGCGACTACAACCGATGACTAGCTTGTAGCCGCTCCTACAAGAACGGTAAGCTTCTTCCACAGCGTCATAAAATAGTTCAATTTCTTCAGGATTGGCGTCATAAACTTGCATGACTGTGCATTTAAGCTTATTTCCGACCTTGAATGTTAGCATGCCGATCCTGTGGCTAAGAAATCTTACTTCTTCTATACGGGGAGCGAGGGTGCTATGAACTACAAAGCCGACCTCTCCAACAACAGAAGTGTCATGACGTTTGCCTAGGAAAATCGCTGTCCCATCAACGTGTTTCATATGCTCTTCAGTTGGCCTTTTCGTCTCGCTGAGTCCAATGATATCGAATTTGATTCGATTGAGTTCATTGAGGAGCTCAGAGAGTCTGGTTTCTGTAGCGAGCGATCTACAGTTGAAAGTGCCAATTCTGAAGTGAACTTTTCGTGTTTTTGGGGGCGATTTTCCATTAACCGAGGCCAGACAGTTGCCATCAGGCCCGGATTGTTCCCGTTCTGCTTGTCCTGTAACTGTCAATCCAGGGGCAGAGCTCGGGTCCGGGACATTTCTTCGCTTTATACTGTTTTTAGCGGACTGGGTCCCTGTTTACTTTTTCCGGCTTGCTAGGCCGAATCGAAGCCGCCCGGATGAGGAGTATTCGACTCTACCCTCGGCCTGCGTGGGACTACTGATTAGGCTGAGCATGTTCCACTGGGGCGACAAAATCCCCAGTTATGTAGAGGAGCATGAACAGTTTATCTTCTTCTCCACGAAGAGGCTCATTGATAGAAGAAGGAACTAAATATTAATCTGGTTTTATAATAGAGTTTTTACTGCGTTCGCGGGGTGGCTTTATAAATGTGTTTCACAAGAGACAAATTTTCAGTATTTTCGATACCATTTGTCCAATTTTGCAGATATAATTATGAAAATTGGTAGATATACGTATTTTTAAGCCCTGAATTCAATTTTGAAAACAGAATTAAATATTTTTTACAATTGACAAAGTTACACCCAAAAACAGGGGTGGCTTTATAAATGTGAAACGCACTGTATTAACCGTTTATTACGAAATTCATCAATTATAAATATTATGCTGTATACATATACATATATGTAAAGTCCATTCTCCGCCAAACGGTCGTTTAATTGGTTTTCTGGATGGTGTTGAAGCATTTGGCATTGCCACAAGCATCTGGATATCTGCTGAAGTCCGTCTAGGATCTTCTCTTGAAGCACGGCAGTTGTTCCGATCTTGGGGCCTATGCTCTATTATTTTATGTCCTTATCTAATATACTTTTTAAAACCTTCCTTTCATCTTTCAATTTCGTTTCAGTGACTTCACTTTCAATGAGTATATGGTATCAATAACGGTACTTCGTTCATTTTGTCATTTTGTATTACAGATTCTTTGCAAATCTGTAGTTGACCGAGAAATATAAATGGCCGTGGAAGAGAAATTCGCGATGCCCGTCTTGCGTCATGACGTCATTAAAGTTTTGAATTTTTTTCTGTCGATTTCTTCACTTCTCCGTTTTTTAATAATATTTTAAAAAAAAAGTTTAATATGACATATTTTATAGATGGGTGATGAAAACAGAAAAAGAACGCATAATTATTGGAACAACAAGTTTGTCGTTTTTAAAAGATTTTAGCGTTTAAATTTGTACAGAGTCAAACAAAATTCTGTGGAACCTGGCGCTAGCGGTCTATTTTTCACATGTGAAGGTCGCGAAAAACAAGCTGTTTATGAAGCTTATTCTATTATTGACGAATTCTTGGACGATTACTCCAATGGAATCAGCACATCAAATCCAAACATTGTAAATGAAGATGATTCCCAAAATTCTGATGAAGATATTGCAGATGCGTTGAAGAAGGTTTGTGAACGGTTTTTCGTATATTTCAGTTTGATTTTAGGCATGCAACAATGAAAGAAAATCGAAATTAAAACATGAGAAACGTCGACGCTGTATACAAAGACCAACAGGAATAAAGAATTGCATTTTCATCAGTGTGAAAGGTTCGTATCGATTAAGCATTTATCTCAAACACATTAATTCAGATGCTAACATAAATCTTCTCGCCGAGAAAATGGTTGATTTGGCTCAAAAATCTCCAAGATGCCGTTGTCTTCACCGAGTATTGCCAGTTGAGTATACGGCACAAGTTGATATCAACAAGTTGAACGAAATAATTATGAAAATTGTCTCTGAAAACTTGAAACCACGAGAAAATGGAACATTGCCGACATATTCTGTTGAGTTTAAAACCAGAAATAATGATAGAATCGATAAGAGCACAATTTTGGGTATGGTGAATGATGCGGTTTCAGCTTTTGCTCCGAACGCAAAAGTGAATTTAAATCGTAAGTTGTTTGTCTGGACAATATATATTGCAAGCAATGTTGACTTAGATCGAGTTTTCTTTCAGATGCGGATATCACATTTTATATTCAATTGTGCCGAAAAACTATAATGGCTGGAATTTGTCGTAGTTTTTATGATCGTAAAAAGTATAGCATGCGGCCGACGAAAAACATTGGAGACGCGCCTGACACCTCCTAATCACATGTTACGCCGTCTTCAGGTACAAATACGCTTCTTTCTGCGCTGCCCTTGTCTGCCTCATTGGCTCAGTGGCAGAGCGTCTGTCTAGTAAACAGAAGGTCGCTGGTTCGATTCCAGCATGAGGCATAATAATCTTTTTGTTAATTTGTTGTTTTTTTTTTGTTTACCGTTTGTTGGTTTAAATTTATGTTTCATGAAGAGTTGCCATTTTTTGCGTTCATTTGCAAACATTCGTGTTCATAAGCGCATCTGGCTGGCTCAAGGAGCACGCGCGTTATTGACAAGGATTTACGCGCGATATAAGACATCCCTTGTAAGATCAAAAAAAAAAATAAAAGCGATGGTTCGTTCTAACAAAAATTATTTGAATTAAAAGTTCCATTCTCATTTATGGTGGTTTTAGGTTCGTTTGCAGCTATCCATTCGACAAAATTGAGTCGTGCTAAAATTTTTGAGATGCCCAAAATGGGGATACTTTCGAAGGTTTCTCGTTTTTGCTCAGAAGTAAAGATGACCGAGAGAGAGTTAGCGTTCTCGATCAACTGGGGACGATTTTCACACGCTCAAAAAACGATCGTCAGCGGTCATTAAGCTGGGTCATCCAACAGCTCTCTGGCTCAGCAGTTCCAGTGCTCCCGAAGAGGAATCCAAAAAGTTTTGCAACATTCAGACAAAATGTATAATTTTTATCCATTCTGGACTATTTCTAATCTATATGGCTGCATTTTTGTCAAGAAATCACACGGTAGTCCTCGCCAATCCACTAGGCCCCAAGATCGGAACATCCAGATGCTTGTGGCAACATAACAGATTTTTCTTTTCTCCCACGTCGTTTTGCCCAATTACGCTGTTTGGCACATAAAAACGGCCGCATACAGTATTTTGGGGTGTCCAATCATGCTAATTTTATATAGAACATTGGTTGAAGCCCTTTAAGTTCACAAACACCTTATAACGGACCATCGTGGTTGGTGAGGTCTTTTGACCTGACTTCGCGACAATTTCACATTAATTATACGATTTCGAATCACTTTAAGATTTAAATGTACTTTTATCAAATCCAGTAACCTATTTGGGCACCAAAACTAATAACACTTTTAATTTTTGCTCCGAAACACACGACGCGCACTAGCCCCGAACACTGACTAAGCTTTGATTCACCATCCCAGTTTCTTCACCAATCCTCATAGTATAACTATTACAATTTAAAAATTAATTCAGATGGTGTGAGCAATTTCACGATGTGGATTTAAATCAACTTCAGCGAAGCGTGAGTGTCTTTTCGAAAAAAAGTATTTTAATCGATTCATACCATATAAAATAAATTTAAACCATAAAAGTTATATTAGATGGTTGGTGAAGAAACTAGCAAAGTGAATCAAAGCTTAGTCGGTGTTCGGGGCTAGTGTGCGTCGTGTATTTCGGCCTTCTACGGGGGATTAAAAATTAAAAGTCTTAAGGGCTTCAACTAATGTTCTAGATAAAATTAGCATGATTGAACACCCCAAAACTATGTCAAAATATGAAAAATCTAAGGTTTTGTAAAGAATAGCAAAAAATCGAAAACTTGAAGAGACTGTAATTCGAAAATGTTAAAGCAATTCTGATTTCAGAATCGTTTTCAAGTTTTTATACGAATTCTATTTTATTTTTTAGTTTGTGTTAAAACTTTTATACAAAAAATTTTCATACTTTTCAATGATTATTTCGTAATGTCATTTAAGTTTAGAAAAAGAGTGACTTTTCTCAGTCCTCGCGAGATCCAATGCAAGTAACAATCAACTATCCGGTTTTGATAGACATAGCAATTTTACTATTTCGAAAATTTGTTTATCGTTTATAAGAATTATTGAATATTTATGATCTTTGAAATCTTCTATGAAATCAATTTTCACGCAGATGCTTTTGCTTGGTCTACAGGATTTTTTTTAAATAGCATTTTGTTGATTCTGAGTAAAATTTCAGCTGTTTTCCATTGTTATCAAATGTGTTTTAACTTCATTATTAGTTGAGAAATGTGCCGTTATTATGCTGTAGTGCATAAAGATCGTCATTTACTTTATGAGCTTTCCGTACTAATGACAATTATTTCGACGATTTCTCATATCATTGGTTTTTATATAATAATAAAATTCTCAAAAAACGAGACAATTCTGTTCAGGAACACAATTCTTTGCAGCATGGTTCGTTGTCTTATTCGATATTCAATGTCTTTTCATACTTTTCAGATCTCGTTTTACATTGCACAAAGCTTTTGGGGAGTTATTATGAACCCGATATCTCTATTTCCATTTCCTGCAGCTTATAGTAATGGAATTCTTAGAAACAGTTTGTCATTGTCCTCGTTGATTGTGAGAATTTTGGAAATGCAAATTATGCTTTACGTTATTCTAACATCTTATAGATTATTTGGATGCCATTATTTGCATTATTCAGCTTATCAAAACTGGGAATTTTGATAATTCGTTTGAAGAGTGTTGTCAGAAAACATACATTCTTTGATGTAAGTCTTCAGAACGTTTCAATGCGACGCTAGATGTTTCAGTTTTCGAATCGCTTTTATCTAATCACAGTTTTAGTTCTTTATATAGCAAGTGTATCGTCATTTCTAACTCTTTGGTCATTGATTAGTAATAGAGACGCATACGAACAATTCATAATTACTTCATATTCCGAATGCTCATTTGTTCTCGATTTTCCGGGAGTTGTGATATTTAATGAATCAGATTATGTCAATATTTTATTTATTGTAATGGGAAGCTATCCAGTCTCAATTGTCACAGTAAGTGAATGTCTTTGGATTAATTTTGAAATTGAATTGTATACAGTTTTACATAGCGGGAAGTTTTCTCATTTTCCGAGAAATTAAACTTCAAATTGATCAAATGAGTAAACGAAAAGCGAAATACCATAAAAAAGTCGTCAAGGATGGGATTTGGCAGGTTTATTTTTTGGAATACCCTGTTTAGCATTTACTTTTTTTTTTAGCTTGTTATCAGCTTATTTTTCAGTGCAATTTGGCCTATAGGTCAGATTACATTTTATTCGCTTAATCCTGAGAGAAACGTGATAGGTTAAAAATTCTATTGAACCCAGTCAATTTTCATTACAGCTGCAATTACCATTGTCGAATTGCTTTTTATAGCAGCACCAATTCCAGTTCTTTTTTTTGGTATTGGTTCAGAATGAAACATACCGAAAAGCCTTGTTCTCATATAGTCATAAACCAAGTTTAATCATTCCTTCGACGATTTCCATATCATATCAAGTTCACAGAAGGGGATCACGAGTTATTTTAAAACCTTATACTAATCACTATCTATGAATATTCGCCAAATTTTTTTTCACTATTGCACATAAAGAATTATACGCATATTATATCGATAAATGAAAATTAATAATTTGCGGTAGTTTTTATGTAAAACGGTTCTCTAGACGAGGTTGGGGTCGTATCCGAAGAATCACTCAAATCTGAAGGACTCGAGAAAACACATCCATATTTTTTCCTATACGATGATTTGTATGTTCCTATTCCTATTTACTACTACCTCACAATAAACGAAGTTTTGTTAAAGTGCACTCAAAAGGATCCATTAATATTTTTTTGAAGATTGGTTTTGTCCGCAGCAGCGAGAAATAACACACTTCAAATTATTCAGTGAAAGATCGATAGTCGAAAAGTGATAATGAGAAATCGAAAGTGAAAAATCTGTACACATTTTTTGTTTTATTTATTAGCAAAACATTTGAAATATCGCTCTTTTAATAATGGGAGACATTCGATTTTCTTTACAATATCGTCTTTAATCACCACAGATTAAAAATAAAAATCTAAAAAGGAAATTTAAGTTAGAGTTTGGTTAAAATGAACGTTACTTTCAAGTGGCTCATTTATGGAACTTTCGCATTATGAGAATCATTTCCACTGAGATCGCATAATATTAAAATAGTCATTTCCTGTTGGATACATGGATATAACCTCTCCATTTAATGTATGTAATGTGTTTTTGATATTTTTTCCCTATTGCGAATATTTATTGTGATAGATACATATATTCAACGCTCACCCTCTTAGAATATTGTTTCAAGATTTTAATTGAAATAATTGCTTGAAATATAGGTAAAAGATCGAGAATCTGGGAAATCGTTAATAACTCGTTGATCAAAATAAGTTACACTTGAGTAAAATGATACGTAGTTATAATTCTCGCTGATAATGAATAACCAGATAAATGTAAATGAAGTTACCTTCAAAATAAATGAGGCAAAAACGATTGAAATAATACCATGCGCTAATTTGTATGTGTTCGACATCTGAAACTATTCATGTTATACTGAAAAAAGTAATTCATACTTGATATCGAGCTTCCAATGAAGCTGTTCCTCTCGTCGTCTTATATTTTCGCAGCACCTCTTTCAGTAAAATTAAGGTAAGCTAGAAAATTAGAGAATTGTTATTATAGAGGACAAAAAAATGTTCGATACTCATATTATGGGGGGGGAGTAACCGAAGGTCTCAATGGGGTCTGAAAAAAATTGTTGATTTATTGAGCTTGTTTCGAAATAATGGCGCACTAGGTGAAATAAAGGTTAGGTAAAAATTTGGCTTCGAATTGACAATCTTTAAGCAGCTCCGCTTCATTATTCTAAGTGAGTCGGAAGGCAATTTCAGGTCAATCAATCAGTGGCCCCCTTTGAGACACACTATCGGTTGACCCCCCTGTAAGAGACATTGACTGAGCATATGAACCCTAAGAGCACGTTGCCCCCTTTTTCTTTGTGTCGGCCTTGGCCACATTTGGAAAATGGATAAAATGAAAAGGTAATCTGTGGAAGATTTTTTCTCACTTTCGACCCAAACATGTTCATCATTTTTTTTTCTCATTATTTTCGTTCAACTTTCAAAAGCGGTCAAAAAATTTGAATAGCCACATTGTATATTCGCTTTTTATCTATTTTCACAACGTGCATATTTTTCACACTCAATTTCAAACTACCGTCAACGTCAATAAGTCTAAACCATTAATTATTATTGTTGGAGGAATAAAGTTATTTCCTGAATTGAAATGTCTAAGTCGTTTATAAATATTTTCCACGATACTTCCATGTATTTGATACGTAAATAAAATGGGTAAAATAAAAAGAAGAATGAACGCGAAACCGATTAAAATCATTCCATTAGTTGAATTATAAATTGTATTATATTTATAGGAAATGATTCGTTCTGAAACCACGAAATTTAGATCAAAACGTTTTATTTCGTGAATTTGATTTTATTTTATGCTTCTTACCAAGGACTATTAAAAACAGCGTAATTGCTTGAAAACAAAACGAATATTCGTGGACATATTGTGAAAGGATTACTGAAGAAAATAAATTTAAAAAATCATGACTGGTAATTTAATTACTTACGCACAAATTCCGAAAAACTTGTCCAATTAGTCAAATGAGACAATGTAAGCAAATAAGATGAAAAATTCAGCAGGTAGAGAAGCAATATGAAAAGTTTTAATGGTTAAATATAGTCGGCGTCCGGCGATTGCTGTATGCGGGTAGATTTAATAAAAAAAGTTATCCAATTCGATAATTTTTTAATCGAATATCGTTGGAAGTTCAAGGAAATTCGAAACTCATCAAGAAAAATAAAGCAGTTCACGTGAAAACAGCAAAATAAGCATTCACGCGTGGCGAGACCTTTTCAAGGCGCATGCGCGTAAATCTACCCGCGTACAGCAGTCGCCGGACGCCGACTATACGATAAAATGAACATTTACTTGTTGAAGTTTCCTATGTTTGACCGTCTTGTTATGAGATACGTGATTATAATTGAACATAAAATGGAAATAATTATTACAATTAATTCTACCCATTCAGCCCATTCCGCCATAATCTAAATACAAAGCTGATATAAAGAGAAAATCATACGAAATCCATTTGGTTTATGACAAACTGTGACTGAATAAAAAAAAACAAAGTAAAATAAATGCTACTATTTTATTCGTGTTCTTTTACAATTCGAGAATTCCCATGTTCTCAAGACGTGCGAATTTCTCTTTACGTGGGTGCTTCAATTTTATGTCTCATGGTGATTCTGAGAATACTTTAGAATACAAACTACTTTATCGCTACATATTGTGATATAAATACATAAAATCTATATGCTGAAACGGTTAAGAGCCTCATTACTAATCATTTTTGCAATGGCAAGAGAACTTGTTGCGGCAGGAGATGGCGCATTGCGAACGTGAAGAATTCTCGGTGAGAGCTGAAATGGACAAATCAAAGTTTAATTAAGTTTTTTATTCTACTTTTCCCGTTCCACTGTCGAATATAAAATCATCGACAAGATTTCCTTCGCTGTCCAATGCTTGCGCTCGAACACCTGATGGTCCTCGAACGACATCACTGACTTCTAATTCCGGAATAAATCGTTGCAACTGCTTAACTTGTGCAGATATCCAAACTCCTCGATAGAATTCTTGAAGTCCAAACGACAAGTATTTTCCCATCAGCTTGCGCATCCCACTGTAAATTTTAAATATGTTTGATAGTAGGGGAATGCATACACCTGAAGGTTAACGATTCTAAAAGATCACTGGGAGAAATACTGAAATATGAATATCCTTCTCTTTTGTAAGCGAGAACAGCGTTCGGACCAAGCCAAATATCACCATTCATCCTTGGAGTGAAATGAACTCCGAGAAATGGAAATCGAGGATCTGGCACCTTAATTCATAATTTGAATTGAAAATATTACACATATTATTTGATAACAATAACTAACTGGGTAAATGTTGGTTTTGACCAAATGCCTTTTGTCCGGTTTCAAAAGAAGGTATTCGCCACGAAATGGCACGATTTTTGGGTCCTTAGATCCTCCGGACAAATTCGCGACTCTATCAGAATGTAATCCAGCGCATGAAATTAAATTTTTTGTTTCAAACTCTGCCTGAAATACGAAACGCGAATAAACGAGTGAACTCTGAAAAATCTTACAATATCACTTTTACTAATGATCCTAATTGGATATTCCGGATCCGAATTGTCGTCAATTTTCACTAGTGGAGTATTCACAAAAATCTAAAATCTTTCTATGACAAAATATTGCTATTTTCAGTAGATAACCTTTCCACCGCGATTCTCAAAATCTTCTCCAAATCGCTGAGTCACGTATCCCCAATCAACAATTCCTGTATGCGGTGACCAAATTGCTTTTAGACCCTAAGGTTTTAATTAAAAAAAAATAAAATCTATGTTATTACCTTGCAGTATGGTTCAAATTCTTTTATTCGATCAGCAGATATCATCTCAATATCTCTGCAACCATTTTTCTTAGCTCTTTCAAACAATTGCTGAAATTAAATATGAAAACTGGTAAGACGATAAATAAATTTACATCAAGCCTTGGAAGCTCCTCTTCTTCAACAGCAACAATCAATTTGCCTGATTTTTTGTATGGCACATTGTTTTCGTCAAAGAATTTGTATGCAAGACCCATTCCTTCTACACATAATTTGGCTTTCAATGTTCCTGGAGTGTAGTAAATTCCAGCATGAATTACACCACTGTTATGACCCGATTGATGGTATGCCAACTTAGATTCTTTTTCAATTAAAGCAATTTTCAGCTCAGGTCGTTCAATAAGAAGTTGGCGAGCTGTCGCACACCCCACAATACCACCTCCAACAATTACAAGGTCATATTTAGGGAGATCACTAAAAAAATCTAAATTCATATAATGTAGCCATTTATAAAACCTTACGCGGTTTTTTTTGGCGCCGTCGAAATTTGGCGCACGATCTTCAACGGTTTAACAAATAATCTTCCAGTGTTTAGCATAACTGCTGAAATAGATAACAACATTTTGCAAACAAGGATAGATATAATCGATAATTATCACACCTAATTCTAGCGAAAGAAAGTTCTTTTATCGAAAATAAAAAGATAGAAGGGAAAGAGAGAGATAGACCGACGTGACAGTTTTTGTTTACGTTTAGAATAGTCATGGGAAGTTCAAGAAAACAGATTATGATTTTGATTATTTTGATAATAGTTAATGATTTGTGAATCTCTGGCGAATAAAATAATTTTTGAAATCAAATATTTAACTATTAATAAGTTCTAAAAAAGGTTTATAAATAATAATATTTATTGCTATTCATTCAAGCTTATTGAGAATCTGTATTTTCTGTAAATGTGTATTTTTACTTTTAAAAGTCTGTTTCTAGTCGATTGAGCCAATTCTAAAAATATCTCAATACATTTTAAAGTCTTATTCAACAAAAAATTCAACCGTGTTTCTTTGAAACGTGACTCAATTTTATATATTATAGACAATAGTCTTTCAAAATTTTTAAAAAATATTTTATTTGAATTTCCTGATGCATAAAACAACACTATCGGTTGACCCCCCTGATGATCTACAAATATTGCAAGTAAAACAGACCCTAAAATTTTAGCCAGCCTGATTAATGCAAATAAGAGTTAAAAGGTAACGCTGATAAAAAATGTTAACTAATTTTTTAAATATCATATAGAGAATGCAAAACTAAAAAATGGAAATCGGAGAAGTTTTATTAAATTTTAGTCTACGGTGCGTCTAAAAGTACGCAATTGCGGACAATACGTGATAAAATGGTGCACACCAAATTTTACCACGAATTTTTCTCCTCGTCAGAGTAGGCTCTACTCCATTGCTTTCACGCGGTTTTTAGTTATTTTTTGCTATTTGTTAGAGCTTGCTAAATATTTCCATATATGTTTCTACTCAATTGAATAACTATTTTGCAAATATATTTTAAATTCCTGCTTGAACTTAGCCAGAAACCGCCCATTTATTTTTTTTTTCAGGATGGGGCTATGTAAATGTCCTAAACGAAAAGTGACTAATTTATTCTGTTACGAACACCGAGTGAACGTTTGCGAGTTTTGTTTAGTGGATAATCATCCAAATGTGATGGATGTTTTGTTTTAAAAACGCAATACTTTTTTTTTGAAGTGTGTTGTTCAAAGTTATCTCAACTGGTTAACAGATTCTGATTATGATCCAAACTGTCAATTATGTCAGCAGCCTTTACAAGAAGGAGAAACTATACGTTTAAACTGTCTACGTATGATCACGCTTTTTATATAAGTATATTCAATCCATCGCAACACAGATCTCCTCCATTGGAGATGTTTCGACGACTGGGCTGCCGGTTTTCCTGCAACAACGGCCCCAGCAGGATATCGATGCCCATGTTGCAACAAAGAAGTGTTTCCGCCAATTAATGAAATTTCTCCACTCATTGAAAAATTACGAGAGCAACTAAAACAGTCGAACTGGGCACGTGCCGCCCTTGGCCTTCCAGTGCTTCCGGAACTCGCACGTCCTGTAACTGTACCGAAACAAGTTTATAATCCGCCAACACTGCCAAATAACGTTTCACAAAATCCATCGTTTAATCGCTCATCAACGCCGGCAACTCATTTAGAAATGGAAGACCTTTCTGGTTATTCTGCTTCAAATGCTGATGTCACATTTGGTACTATCCAAAGCTATGTTTTGAAATTAAAATTCGATTTTCAGCGAGAAAGAAAAACGCAGCATACAATCAAGAGTCGGACACTCAACCGCTAATTGAAAATGATCGTGATGATGAATCTAACAAGTATAAAAGGCGCCCGGTTGGAGAATGGGCAAAAGGATTGTGGAAGTAAGTTGCCTGCAATATTTTCAGATAACTAATGTTGGATTTAAGGGCGAAATATGGTTCAAATGTTCCTCAGGACCGACTATCTGGAAGGAAGAAAATTCTCTTCATTATATTCTTAGCTTTTATTGTGCTTTTAACGGTAAAACACTAAAATTGGTTTATTAAAAAAAACCTTGATTCAGCTATTCATAGTGTTGAAACGTGCGGGTATTTCTGGAGAGAACGATCCTATGTTTGATCCAATGGCGAATCCAAACATTCGTGTTGCACTAGAGGACTCAAGACTTGCACATATATAACGAAACAGACGCATAACATTCCCACAACTCGTTACTAATATGGAATTTTTGGTTGTAACTAAAATCTTCACGGGGTTTTTAAAAATTATTTATTCAGAATTTTATTGGGGAGGTTCTCGGATTTGTAAAAATTCATGTGATTGTGTTGTAGTTATAATATACATTCAAATAATATTTCTTATAAACATATAATTTACTCAATTTAATCTTAATTCATTAAAAAAATGGTTACTAGACCATATATCTATAGTTATATTTATATTATTGTTATTTCTTTTTGTTTAACATTTTAGGGTGACAATGCAACGTTTAGGGGCAAATGTTGCCCGTGGTGTGGCCAAAGGCGTTCAGAAGCGAGCACTATCAGCTGCTCCACCAAAAAAGGTAAAATAAACATGAAGTAATTAAATAAACCAGTTTTTGCTTTAGGTTGAGGTTACGATCGATGATAAAAAAATTCTTGTTGACCCTGGAATGACAATTTTGCAAGCCTGCGCACTCGTCGGCGTTGATATTCCAAGATTCTGTTACCATGATCGTCTTTCAATTGCCGGAAATTGCAGAATGTGTCTTGTCGAAGTGGAGAAGAGTGTGAAAGTATGTGATTTAAAACTTGGACAATCCTATAATTGACCCATTATTATATTACAATCCAGTGATAAATTCAGGAATTTTTTTGAACAAAAATATATATTAATTTATATATATTAATTGATATATATTAATTTTATTCAGCCTGTTGCTTCGTGCGCAATGCCGGTTATGAATGGAATGAAAGTGAAGACCAACTCAGATTTCGCTAAGAAAGCTCGAGAAGGTGTTATGGAGTTCCTCCTTAACAACCATCCTCTTGATTGCCCCATTTGTGATCAAGGAGGAGAATGTGATTTGCAAGATCAGGCAATGAATTTCGGATCGGACAGAGGACGTCTTCAATCGAGATATGATGGAAAACGGTAGCTTAAATTTTAAACTTTTTTTTTATTCTTCACAAGAAATGAACTAGTTTGAAAATTGGAAATTCGGGAACCGTAAATCTACACAGTGTGTTGGTGTTCTCGCAATAGTAATAATTTTCTAGACATTCATCTATATTGTTTCCAGCGCCACTGAAGACAAAAACATTGGACCACTTGTTAAAACCGTGATGACTCGTTGTATTCAGTGCACGAGATGCGTGCGGTTTGCGAATGAAGTCGCCGCATTCAATGATTTCGGAACAACTGGTCGTGGAGAATCTCTTCAAATCGGAACATACGTTGAAAAATTATTCGCTTCTGAACTCTCTGGAAATCTTATTGATATTTGTCCAGTCGGCGCATTGACAAGCAAACAATACGCGTAAGAAACTCTAAATTCGGAATAAAATTAATAATTTTTTGCTTTAGTTTTGTTGCAAGACCATGGGAAACCAGAAAGACGGAAAGTGTCGATGTTATGGATGCTACTGGATCAAACATTGTTTTGACTCACAGAACTGGAGAATTGATGAGAGTCATTCCAAAGATCAATGATGTAATATTATTTATAGGATGCTATTATTGCAAAATTAAAGTTTAGGATATCAACGAGGAATGGATTGGAGATCAATCGCGTTTTGCCATCGATGGCCTCAAAGTCCAACGACTTCTTACTCCAATGGTCCGCGGTGCTGATGGCCAGCTCAAGTATTGAGATACTTATTATTCTCTGGAATGTATAAAATAGTTTAGACCTTCATCTTGGGAAGAAGCGCTCTTCACTGTTGCTTCAAAACTTCGCGAAACCAGTGCCGAACAGAAAGCTGCTATTGCCGGAGGTCTTAATGATGTCGGTACGTATAGTTTTTTTGTGTTAGCAAATATTTATAATTTATTTAAAGAATCTCTTGTGGCGCTTAAAGACCTTTTCAATCGATTCAACAGCGAGAATGTGATGACTGAGGAGGAGTTTCCAGAGACAAGCGGAGGAACTGATTTAAGATCGAACTACGTGTTCAACGACGGAATCGCTGGAGTTGAGAAGGCTGACGCGATTCTGCTTGTCGGAACCAATCCAAGATACGAGGCTCCAACATTGAATGCCAGAATCCGAAAATCGTATGATATTTTCGTTTTTTAGAGTTTCGAAACGCATGAATTCCAGATTCCTTTACACTGATGTCCAGATAGGAGTGATTGGGGCTGAAGTTGATCTTGCTTATGATTATGACTACTTGGGAGCCTCAGCCAAAGCCATTGACGATATCCTTGCTGGAAACGGTGAGTTCGCGAAGATCTTCAACTCTGCAAAGACACCACTCATCATCGTCGGAGCTGATGTTTTGAAAGGAGAAGCTGGAGCCACGATCTTCGGAAAATTGCAAAAATTGGCACGTTTTATTGTTTCCTCAATAAACAACTGAGTAATAAAATTAAAGGCTACTAAAGTTGGAAGCGGAAAAGACGTAAAGGTTTTCAACGTTCTTCAAAGATGGGCTGGACAGACCGGAGCCCTTGACGTTGGATACAAGGCAGGAACCGCATCGATTCGTAAGACACCGATCAAGTTCCTTTATTTGCTCGGAGCTGACGAAGGAAAAGTTACAAAAGCTAACCTTGATCCACAAGCTTTCGTCGTGTACCAAGGTCATCACGGAGACGCTGGAGCTGAAATGGCTGATGTCATACTGCCAGGATCAGCTTATACGGAAAAAGATGGAACATATGTTAATACAGAAGGACGATCACAAAGGTATAGTTTAAATATCTCTTTTTTTACAGTTAAAATTTAGAGGATACCCTGCCGTCACTGCTCCAGGAGAAGCGCGCGCTGATTGGAAGATCATCCGTGCCATCTCTGAAGTTGCCGGAAAGACCCTTCCTTACAGCGACATCAAAGAGATCAGACAACGATTGAACGAAATTGCACCACATTTGTTGAGATACAGAGATGTTGAGCCTTCGATCTTCCACAAGCAAGCTCTCGAACTCGCCCAAACCTCTGGAAGCACCGACGTCGACGTTTCGCCAAAACTTCGCGAATTGTCCGATTACTATCAAACAAATGTGATTTCACGCAATTCGTTGTTCATGGCTCAAGCGAAGAAGGCGGCACTCGAGAATAAGGAAAATCCATACGCCGAACCGCAGCAATTTGCGCGATTGTAACTATCATCTATATGTGGACATTTTCCTTTTATAGTTGTTTGTAGAATTGAATGTGTTTTGTAGAATTGAATGCGTTTCGTATTCAAAGTAGATTTTCATTAAATGTGTATTTTTTCTGAATTTGCGTTCTTTTTTAGAGATGCGTTCTATTTTATTGGCTGAGGAATTGAAGAGAGAATAAACAAAAAAATTAGCAGAACGAGTTTTTGCACATTTTGTCTTGAATCCATGGTCCTGGGTTTTGAGAATCTGAGAAGGTATTGACGCAATCTGCTCCAAAAAGAGATGTCAATTTCGATTGTGATGCGCTTGAACTCCATTGTACAGCAACCGACTTCAAACCGTAATTGGACTTGTAGCCGTTCAAGGTGTCCGTCGGATTAACATCCCAATCCGTAGTACTTGTAAAGTAAGTCAGCAACTTGTTGTTAGTTTTGTATTGAGCCAAGTAACCTTGGATTGCAATCAACGCCATGTTGAGAGTCTGGCCCGCAACGTCATCTTGAATCAAATTGTCGACGGCAGTGAGAATGTCCTTTCTGTAAAAAAAGTAACGAGATATAAATATTCCGAGAACGTTGTTGCACCTAGTTTGCCCATTGTGGAATGCTGTATAATATAATTCAGAATCCATTCCAGTAGTTACTAAAACAAATTGTGATCCGCTACCACTGATGGTGAATGGTGCAATGAAATCATGAATGGCCGCTTTCATCTGGAAAAAAAATGAAAAGAAGAAATTGTGTTAGAAATCTCAGATTATTCAAATCTTACTTTCGTGAAACTGCTTGGAGAAGCTTTGTTCGAAACATCAACAATGATATAAACATCGAATTGAAGACTCTTGACTGGACATGAGACGGATGGTGCTTGTGTTGGCATAGTCGATGGTCCCGGTGTTTGTGTGACTACTTGGACTCCACTGACATTTATCAATTGAAGTTCATATATTTGCAATATTTCGTATACTCACGGGCAAGAGAATGCTGATATCCATGCAGAAGCATAGCTGAGCTGGTCCATCGTGGCCACATAAAATGTGTTCCTAAAAATAGATTATGTGAAGATATGAATTTTACGAGATTACGTTAAAGCAGTGCTCAATTTTGGAAGCTGATCATTTTGATTTTTGATTGCCTTGATACCAACGCCGACGGCGAGAATCACATCGAATTTCTTTTGGATTTGTTGAAGAAGAGAACTACCAATGATCGAATTGCCCGTCCAGCTGTCAGCGGATACAACTACGAGCACTTTCTTGAAATCGCCATCGCGAAGACCTGAAGAACTGCTAACTTCTGCTTGAACCTTTGAAAGCGCTCTGAATGAATACTAAAAGAACAGTTTGAATAATTATAAACTACTGAAAAATATTTCGTTCAGATGATCCTTGATATTTCAATGTGTTATTGATGGCGTTTTGGAGAGCTGCCAGATTGCTACCGCCCGATAAAGAAGTTACTGTTTGAGCAACAGTTCCATACGCATAAATTGCTACCTATCGAAAAAATTGAAATTATTTGTTGAAGTTTTTGTCCTACTTGAGAATCAACATTGGATATCGTTGAAGAGCTCACAAAACTGTACAGAAATGATCGAATCTTAATCAAATATTTGTAGTTTAATCAAACTCTTATCAAACCAACATTTTCAAACGAAACTTGATCTAAAGAGTTTGAGGAGTCCACTACAAAAACAATATCAGCTTCAACATTCTGTAAGGAATTCATATTTGACTGCTTACAATTAAAAGCAAGAAATCACAAATGTGGAACAGCTGGATTGTAGACAAATATGGCTTGTGTAGGCACTCGAAACTAGTAAAAGCAGAGCGATTGAAATATTTGGCAACATCTTCTGAAGAGAACACAATTTTATATTAATTTATTGACATTTGTTAAATTGTCATATGATCAAAATCACAAATTCATTGAAAACGGACACGCGCTTCTTCAAATTGTGCTTATCGGAATTCGCTTATCAAACGAATACGAAACGTGGCTCTAATCTGACCAAAAATTAAAAAAAGAAAAACAAAATTTCTGATTAGATTTGCCTGCTAAACTAGCAAATCTATCTTCGATATGCCATTTTAGTGGTTGCTGTTATCCAAATGACAAACACACATACATACATGCTGAAAATTTGAAGATGACTAACATTTGTTTCCAGATCATTGCTTGTTATGTTAACACATGATAGAGACCGCGTGTGCTCTATGCAGGTAGATTTCTTTGAGCATTCGTTTTTCGCTGTGACTTGTTCTTTTGTTTTTTTAATGATCATGATATTCATTTGAAAAATAGTGGCTATCGAAGCAGAGAAGCGCATGTCAACGGGCAGGTTCACCCAGTTGTAAATCTCCACAGATTTCGTGGGTGGAAATGCGCCACTTCGCTAATCAAATCAATATGATTATAGCACATTTTTCTGCCTCTATAAATAACGTTTACACGCACACACAAAAAATATCAGTCGTAAAAAGAAACAAATTTATTCCTATTTAGATTGTCAGTTAGTTTCTCAAATGCTAATAATAACCGAATATTAATTGAAAGTTTTGTTTTGCTCATAACTCTGCTGATTACCCGCGTTTAATATTACCTGAAAATTCTTAATTTTACTTTATGTATTCTATTCACAAATCAAAAAATTTATTTGAAAAGGAGGAACTGGAAAAAACAAAAATGTTTTCATTTTTTTTATTTCGATTTCTTAAAGATATCAAATTCAGGCAAGATCAATAATTAAATGAAGTCAACGCTCGAAAAGTTATAACTTGCGGGTTATATATATACATATTTTACCCAAATGGTCGCAACTTTTTTCAAAAGCTGAAACAGGAAAAAGGTAACGTTTTTGTTAATAAAAAAGTCATAGATTTGAACTATTTTAGTGACAGCTAAATGTGCGAGCTTGACTTCAAGAAGCACAACGTTTGCCATATTGAGAAATTCGAAACATATGTGTTTTGTCTCCACGTCACTTCTTGTATTGCAAATATTGTATATATTGTCGGATTCTACGCATTATTCACTACGAGTCATGTCCAGTTCAACAAGTTCAAACGATCATTGATTACCCACACATTTACGTGAGAAGTGCGCAAAATTACTTTTTCGAAATCGAATTTTAAGGAATTGGTTTTACGAAATGGCGGTTAGCACATTTATCATTGCAAGTGTTGATTTACCATGGCTCATGTTGTGCACCAATGGATTTATATTTCCGTGGAGACCAGGCGAACATTTTTACACATTTCTTGTTGCTATCGTAGGTAAGAAAATTGAAGCATGTGATTTTTCACAATTTGCTGTTGAAACTGTGTCAATGGCATTTATTAGGTGCCCAATAGTAGCGTGAAAATATGTAGATTTAAAAGTTTTCAAAAATTTCGAATTTATCAGCGAGAAAACTAATTGCAAAAAGATCCAAATTATACGCGTGTTTTTTGGTGATTTCTGTGACAGTGTTTGCATACATTTTCACGCACTACCATTCATTTTAATTTTTTTTTGCTCTTTTAAACCTTAAGTGTTAATCAATTAAGATCAAAGATCAAAAAACAGAAGCTCAGAGAGTCTAGAGTCTAGATTGCAAACAATTTTTGGTTCGGGATAACCGGCGGAACATTTTCGGACGGACAGGGGAGACATTGAACTCGGTCAAAACAAAAGTCGTTTAGCTCGACATCCTAAATTGAGGGCGATGTTAATTGGAGTGTCGTACTCGAAGGGTTAAAAAGTTTTGGAACAAACAGAGAATTTTGGAAACCTTTGTGGAACCCCGACGTTTAAACCAAAACTAACCACTGTTTGTCGTTTTCGAATCGTTGAGATTAAATTTGCGAAAATCCAAAAAAAATATCTCTAGAATCTAGAGTCTAGATTGCAAACAATGTTGTTTTGATGGAACCTCAAACGCCTTTCCAATTTCATTAGCATATGAATTTCGATTTGTTTTCAGCAACCGGTTACACAATTGTAAGGTTGTTTGAAAGTCGTTTGAAAGTTACGGCGGAAAATACAAAACCCATATTAAAATTAATTATCAAATATTTGACGATATCAACTTATTTTTGTTTTGTTATCGTTCTCGTCTTATTCGCATTTTCTTTGGATTCAATGAACTCTCAATACGACTATAAGCTCAAAATCCATTTAGTTAGTTTTGTTTTTCATTTGTTTTAAAGCAGATCGATTTTAGAATAAAGGACCATTGCCATGTTATGCTTTTTGCAACAACTGTTTTATTCCCAATTTTGACGTAATACAATCCTTATTAGGATTTGTTGCTGCTGGCATAGCGGTTGTTGTTACTGTTATAACAATAGTTATATTGGGATTGACCTCTTATAGAGGTCTCAATTCTTCGCGTCATTTATTTTCGAGAACAACTCTAGAAATTCAAAAAAACTTCAACTACAGCTTATTTCTTCAAGTAAAATGATTAGTAGCGATTTCTATAGTCTCCAAATTCAGATGATTGTTCATATTAGTTTTTTGGCAATTCCTCTTTTATTTTATCTATCAGCATTAGTCATTGAATATCCTCGAATGTTCGCCGGTGTGTATTTTCTCCAATGTATTTCCTCAAATATTCTGTGATACTCTAGATTTTTCGCCGTATGCTCTTATAATATGTGCTCAACATGGCTCAGTTGCTACAGTGATAATGATGATAACCACAAAACCACTCAAAAGGAGATGTAAGAAGATGTTGTTAAATTCGTTGAATGTTTTAATTCAGTACAAATCAGTGTTTCAAGCATATTTGTAAGGACGAATGCTACGAAACGAACATCTACTAGAATAACTTCGCTTAAACTTGTATGAATTCGTGATTTATCAAAAAACGCTCGATTTTAATTGCAATGAATGTGAAATAACAGAAGAATAAAAAGAAGTAAGATGTCGAATAAGCGACACCCATTTTTCTCAAGATTGTCTCAAAAACTTCTCGAGACAGTCAAGAAATGGGGCAATTTCAGAAAATGTCAAACGATCCGTCTATAAATCATCTGACAGAAATTAATAAAATATTTGAGGCGATTATTATTTAATCCTTTATAAAGTTATTTGTTCCACGGAAAATAATGAATATTTCGTTATCAAATTATTTTTGTTTGAAAAATCCAAAAAATTTATTTTTTGTTTTTCGGTCTTTTTTTTTAAAAACCCGGTTAATCTATTATTTTTCTCCTTAATTATTTATTTTATAACTCGTAGTGAAAAAAATCGACGAAATAGTAAGATCGGATGACACGTGGTTATAATTTAGGAGTCCATAAGAGATCCTGACACCCCCCCCCCCTGTAACCCACTATAAATAAATAGAATGACAATAATGAAAAAAGAAAAGTGATGTAAGTAATGATAAAAGATAATATTAGTAGAAAGTATCAGATAATTATAGAGGTAAGTTCATAGAATCGGATGACAGATGTACATACGAATTTATGGAATGGTTTATGATGTGTAAGCCTGAAGACACATTTGTATAAATAAAATGTTATTCGTCTAGAGGAGAGATATTTTTAGATTAAATTGTAAGAAAAATTGGTGATGAACAACATGTACAAACCAAGAATAAACCAAAAACCATCTGCTTTTAATTTTTAATTTTCTAGTTTTATCAAATTCAAATTAAACATATTTATGTATTATGTTTTGTTCTCACTTCTGGATAGCATTTTTTGCCAATAGGATTTTTTGTGAATATCGAAAATATCCGTTATTGCTTGGCAACATTCAGACGGGCCTGACGAAAAATCGCAAAGCGTGTGGCCATCATGATGATGCTTTGCTTTCATATTTTTGTCTATCTTCTCCAGATTTTGAAAGAAAACATTGCGGTAATAATAGAAAATGATTCAATCGTAAGATATTCCAAACTTCAGCAGTCTGCAAATACCCAACAAGTATTGATTTGGGGAAGAATCACAGAAGATGATTCATGCGATAAAGATTCAGCGTCTGTTTCTTGGGAACAATGCTACACAAGCTGTGGAAACCAAGTAGACTGTGTTGTATGTATCGTTGAGCAACTCCTTCAATTTCCCTTTCCAATTCCTTAGGTTGCCTATTATGCTGAAAATATCTGTACAATTTGCACTTACAAAAACGTATTTTCTGTACAGATTCTTGATGAATCTCTTGGCGAAAAGGTTGCGATAAAGGTATTATTTAAATTATTTTTTTAACCAACTGAGTTACTTTTAGACATAGTAGTGATGAGAATTTACTAAAAAGGGAGATGTTTTTACTTACAAGGGAAGTCATTTTACCTCTTGGAATTTGTTAGTGGTATGGAATTTTTTCTAATTTTGCACACAAACCGATCGGGAAATTCCCTATTGAGTGTGATACAAAATTCTTTTTCTGCAAAAGTTCCAAAAATGCCCAAAACTTTGGGTCCGAAGTTTCAAATTAAAAAAAACATCTCCCTTGTAAGATTTTATTAGTTGTGTGAATGTTATGAAAACATTTTCAATTTCCTTATAGAATTCCTATGTTGTTGGCAAGAAGCTTCAATAGATTTTCGTCAATTGTTTCATTGTCCGCTTCGGCATGCGATTGAGACAGTGGACTTTATAGTTTGATCATTTCTTAGAAACCAATGCTATAGAGAGAATATTTGTGCTTTTTGGTGAATAATTAAATAGAGAAATAAATAAATAAATAATAATCTCCGATGAAATATGTATTGTAATGAAAATATTCCAATGTAAAAATTATAAGCGAAATTAAATAATAGTTTGAGTTCCAGGTTTCACAGGAAACAAAGGAATGCCAACCTTTCTCAACTGGATGGGAGTTTTTGAATGGAACTAAAGTTTGGTTGTTCGGTCACTCCTAACTCTACTGATTTATTTAGGGAAATTTGATAGACAGCTATACAAATGTGAGCTACACTTTGAATATTGTTGATGACATTATTAAATTTTCTTTTACAGGTACTTTCAAACCGTTTTCTAAATTATAATTTATATTTTGTGTTCAGTGAATAAACAATGCGATGTTGGATGGACACGATTCGAATGAGCAATTGGCCAAGTTTGTCTCAGAGTTTTCGTCGAACCAAATGTGATTACTTTTTACGATGCAAAAAGTTATTGTGAGGCGAACAATTCCATTCTTGCCGGAATCGAAAACAGTGTGGAACTAGCATTCATCACAAGTCTTCCAATTAAAATATTCATTTCTAATTGGCTATTTAGATAGTGCTAGACCAAATTATGGAAAATATTCAAATTCAATTTGGCTTGGAGCCGCTCGAAAAGAATACCGCGTTGGCAATGATTATTATAATTTTGCGATTTGCAAGCAGCAGCCATTCGATTGGACTGATCCGACAGTCACCGGAACCGCTGGATTTATATTTTACCCAGGAAGGCCTGACGGACAGTCAATGTCAATTCTGTTTTTGATAATAAAAACATAAATAAAAAAAAAATGATTACAGAGATCACCCCCAAAAGTGTTTAGTAGCATTTAGTAACCTCGCTGGAAAGGGCCAACATGGAACGATCGATGACGAAAGGTTTGTTCGAAATTTAGTTTTGAGAGATTTATTAAAATGAAGCTCGAAAAAAAAAAAGACAAGAAACTATTAGATTTTTAAATTCCTTTTCGACTCTTTATAGGTAGATGTCCGAACTTGTAGAAAAGCAAAGAAAAATTTCAGTTGCGATACCGGGTGCAATGACAATGCCTGCATCTTGCAAAGAAATTCTTATGTGTGCATGAAGAATCCTTTATAAAGTCGTGTTTCTTTTAATAAACTTCGCACTTTTCAAAAAAATAGCATTTATGTGTAATGAATTGTTTTAGCATACCTACTTTATTCATTGTTGGTGTCGCGTAATTACGGAAATTTGGGAAGAAGTCTCGGTGCGCCGTATGCGCCTTTAACCTAAGCCCCTAAATCTACACTCTTAGTTTTGCGGCAAGACCGTTGTTATTGTTTCTTTGGCATCTACCCAATTTTCCGAAGTCGTGCGGCGTTGGAAATACTTTGTTATTACTACTCATGTGTCTATCTTAAAAGTGATTTGTGCCGTCCCATTTTTTGTTACTTATTTGCTTAGTCGATCCATTCTTCAGCGTAGCGCATGGATCACAATTCTCCGTAGTATTCAATTTCTGGCTCTGGTCGACCAGTGTTCCACCAATTCATCCTTTTCGTGTTATACAATCATTGACTGGAGTTCTTCCCAAATACGCACTGAACAGTACCGTGCAGTAAGATATACAATTTCACTTTTTTTATCATAACTTTCTGAAAAGTTGACCAATCGATCTGAAATTTTTGGACAACTTTAAGCATCGATAGAGTGATTATGTAACAAAATTAGAAGGTGTAAAACACATTAGAAAAAATTTTATTTACCAAAAATCCGAAATTCCATTATAGCGAAAAACCGATTTTAATAATTTTGATACCGGCACGACTTGAAATGAAATGGAAAGCAACAATTATCTGTCTGGAAACTTAAAACAACTCAATATCTTGTTGACATGTCATTTGCATCGATCACAGTTTGATATCGGAGATCCATGGCCTCGTCAACTTCGGGAGGGTTGAAACTGGTATATCCATCCATGCTCTCCTCAGCTGCTCGAACTTTTCGGCACAATTTTGTACTGTTTGACCTCGAAGACGTCTACCAAGACCTTCCCACAAATGTTCAATGGGGTTCAAGTCAGGTGAGTGGCTTGGGTAGTCCCTGACGGCCACCCTACGCTGCTAGAACCACTCTTTGATGAAGGGAGAGCAAAGTTTAGGATCATTATTCAGTTGAAATAAGTATCCACACCGAGCAAAGACTTTGCAAACGGAAGCATATGGTTCTCGAGAAAGTCTTTATACATTAATCGATCCATATTTCCTTCGATTCGATGAAGTAGGCCAGCTCCAGAAGCAGTAAAACATCCCCAAACCATGACGCTTCCTCTTCCATGTTTCACTCTTGGTAATTGATGCTTTGGATCGAATCTTTTGCCGTCCGAACGCATCACAAAGGTAATAACATCCGTTCCGATCAACATATACTTCGATTCATCACTCCATACAATCTTTGAACATTGTTGAAAAGTCCAATTCAAAAGTTCCTTAGTCCACTTCAAACGGGCGCGGCGTTTCTTCTCCGAAAGGAGAGATTTTTTAACAGACCGACGTCCGAATAATCCAGAACCACGTAGACGACGCTTGACAGTATTAAGGTTGACATCATAGAACTGACTCAGTTGCCGATTAATCTCGGATTCGGATAGACGCGGGTTGCTCTTGCTGATTCTTACAATTGTTCGATTGATTGCCGGGGATGTTTTGGAAGGATTTCCAAGTGGTTTGGAATCCGATCGAGATTTCAAACATCACAAATTGTCCAAGTCGATGAGTTCAACTGGTGTGATAGACATTGGATGAAAAGACCTTGTGCTCGGTCATCCTTGATTGCTTTAAAACGTCTGATAGAATGTTTTTTGATCATTTTGATCGTCTCCTGCTAAAACGAATAAAAAAACTGATGTTAACATTTAAAATCTAAAAAAAAATCGAAAAAACTTAAAAATTAAAAAAAAAATCGCATTTTTTAAAAGACGCGAAAAAAGATCCAACGCACAAAAAATGCGTCTATAGTATCCCAAAATGAATAAATTATGTTTGGGAACACACCATCCGTTTTTTAAAAAAATTTCAGATTTGCTTTGCGAAAAAAACAGATTTTACGATATGGGGGTCGTTCTGCCTCACTCATTTCGATATCGGGATTTCGACAGCTTTGACGAATAGAATGATAAATGTTGAGCAATTTTATTTGAATTTTGATAAAGTTTATGATGATCAACGGCTTGTTTCTTCAGTTAATTCCAGACGGATGTGGTTGTAGTTACTGGTAGGATTGATGCTAGCGGCAGGCTTCGAGGATTCTTTGAATATGTGATACATTGTAGATATTTCTCTTCAGAATCCATATTGATGCAATGATTCCCGATTGTCTTTTTATTCTCGAATATTTTCCGGTTAGTGTCTTGTCATAATGCATTTGTATATTTTTGTCTTTTTTTACATTTATTGACTATTGTGTTTTTTCGAGGCCGTAGTTCAAAACCCAATATAATCAGAGGCAATTCGGCTACTGCACTACGGGTAACCTGCGAATCAATCTCACTGGTGCTGATGTTTTATTTTGCTTTTTTAAACCTTCTTCCGCGCAATTAATATCATACACATTTCTAAATTCCTTGCCAAATAGACTCCGCTGAATATTTTTCGTTCGCTGTTCATAAATCAAAAACCAATGTCAAATATATTTTATGGAAAAGCCTAGGAATTAAAAAAGGAATATGGGTGTCAAAAATAATGCATTCATCATGCGTCGCCATTATTGCCATGCGACGAAAATTTTGATGGAATCGTAAAAGTTTCTTGAGATCAGTATTGAATTCAATGAATATTCTCATTGTTTTAACATTATTATTCCCTACTATTTTGCAAAATCATTTTGTGGTATTTGTTCGAAAAGATTTCAAAAAATTGCCAAAAATTGAAGAACTCGAAAAGCACACAACTTCTATTAATGTGGGGACGAATTGAAAACGACTCATGTGCCAAGGATTCGACAGAAAGTTCTTGGGAAGAATGTTACAATAAATGTGGAAATCAAATGAATTGCATTGTAAGTGCAAGTGCTTTTGGTTTTTCAAATATTCGCCAATTTTTTAAATCAATTTGAAGGTTGCTTATCACAATCGAACAATCTGCTCTCTATGTGATAATACTCACAAGTTTTCCGTAAAAATCTTAGATGACAATCTTGATGAAAAAGTTGCTATAAAAGTATGATAATTGGCCAAGAAATGCGGTTAAATTAAAACTTGCAGACTTCGCAAAGTAGCGATGAATGCGCGTCGAACGAACACAATTCGGATGAATTCAATGGTGGAAATGTTCAGAGAAATTTGAGATTTTCAATAATTCCATTGATAATATTTTTTCAGACTTCATTTATGATAAATAACACTGTAATTAATTACTTTATTATCAGAGATGGGAACACACTGAAATTTCAAATTTTCGGTTCGTAATTTTTGTAAATCGTCCCTATATCGAAGTTCAAATTGGAAATTTTAATATGTATTCAGAAGACAGGCTTTGCGAAAGCGGTTGGACTAGATTTGTTCGCACAATTGGGCCGGTCTGTATCAAAGTATTCACTGTTGATAAGCCAATAATTTTCGATCAAGCCAAAAGTTTTTGCGAGCTCGAAGGAGCTTTGCTCGGTGGAATCGAAAACGAGCAAGAGCACACATTTGTTAGAGGTATTTTTGAAATGTTGGTAATTATTTTGAAAATTAAATTCAGACGAAGCTGCAGTTCAAAATGCAGTAATTTCCAATTACCGCAATGGAGTTTGGCTTGCCGGCGTTCGTTTAGATTCGTGTCGCGGATCGGACTGGGCCTCTAAACCAGGATGCCGTGAGCAATCATTTAAATGGACAGACCCATACGTTACCGGAATAAATGGTTTTTATTTTTACCCGGAACGACCAGATGGAGTTATGATGTAATGCTGGTGAAAGCCGAAATTAAAATGTTCGCTTTAATTTTTAGATCTGGTGTCCAACAAAACTGTCTGGTTATGTACACGACGATCAATGAGATTGCGTATCATGGGTTAATGGATGATCATTTGTCAGTTAGATTCACGTAGACAAAAATACAAATTATTTCAGTTGCGATGCTTATTGCCCAGATGTCGATGTACAATGTGGTATTAATATGATATCCTACATTTGTGTTAAAACAGCTGGATGAATAAATAAATATATGTATGTTTTGGGTTTTGTTCATTTATGCGGTTTCCTGTGTTTTTGTCATACTTTTTGTAAAAAATGAACAGAAGTTGTTTATAATTGCCAAAAATCAAGCAAAAATTTTCTCCGAATTTTTAGATGTGGAAATAGGTTTTCCGAAATTTTCTACCAAAAATTTATAGATTTTTAGGTAACATTTTTACGTTGACTGACAATTAAATACGAGTTCCCATATATATTTTTTTAATTTTGCTCAGTCGTTTGACTACAATATTCTTGAATGAAAAAAACTTCTTGAATGAAACTCATTCATATTTTTCTCTTTTTTTGTGACGGATTTTTCCGCCATTTTTATATGACAATATAATATTGTGAATGATGATTATAATGGTTATTTGAAAGACTTAAAAAGACTTATAATAGTTATTTGAAAGACTTTTTCATAACGTTTCTTGACTATTATTCTCTCTGAGTACAATTGTTTTGCTTATTTATTATATACATATTATATCGCGTTCAACTTTTTCAAACATACAAATAATTGTAACACGGGGGAAATTGAAAGATGGAAATGATTTCGGTCCAGAAATAAATGCCATCACATATAAGGAAGGTTGTGAGCTGAGCTCTTCATTCAAATTTTGTGTTTTAAGTACTTCTTCGCGCTGTACGATTTTAGTTGTTTCTTTTCGTGCTCCGATGACAACAATTGTTTGATCAATATGATTTCGTACATCGACAATAAGGAGCCCGGATAAATCAGAATTACTAATTGTAAGCACAAATATTTTCGGCTTTTATGTTATATTTTCATAATGCATTTCTAGATTATATGTTGTACGCTGCGGTCGAAAATTTTGAGATAGTTCTACATATTTTTTGGGGTATTTTCGGAAACCAGAAAAGGGGTCAAAAAATTGGTCTAGAGGATTGTAAAAACGTTTAACATAACAAATGTAAAATACGGTGATATGCCCACAAAAAAAAAAGTGTGGATTGGAATTGTTTTAAGCCAAAACCGGTCATAATTACATCACATTAATATTTGAGGGAGCTCCAATAATAAAAATGTCGCGACAATAGTGTTTCTCATTGATAATACGACGAAAAATATCAGAAACTAAAAGAAAACCTAAAATAACGAACTTATTGGTCGATTCACTTGATTTCCTTGAGATTTGATAAAGTTGATGATTGAAAATCAATAAAGTAATAATCGAGGCGATTCCATGCTGAGATGCGACGACAGTTATTACGAACATTAAATCTACATTAATATTTAATTTGATACTAATGAAACCAACTTACAATCCCATTCATGAAATGCATTGTCCACAATAAACATTGATAGGACAGTTCCAAAAGGAAATGCCAAAAATGTGGTGTGAACAATTATTTGAATTATCAAACTGTTCATAAAATTGCGCTGAATTTCTAATGTTTTTTTGGAAAATGTTAATCGCGATTGATGCAAAACGAAATATGATAGAATTACGCAGCAAAGGACTGTTAATGCCGCATAAATGACTGAAATCGTTGTAAGAATAATTAGCAAACAACAACTCAAAGATTCGAAATTCATAATAATACAGAAATCGCAAAATAAAATGTTGTCGATCGGATGAAGCATTTTCTTAATAATTATTCGACAAATTGATTGATTTAAAACAAAATACCGAAGTAAGCAGTTTTTTCAAATCATTTTGATTGCTAAACTCTGGATAAGATGCAATCAGAGCAACGACGATTGCAAAAAATATGCCATATACTACGTATATATTGTATTTCGCAAATGATGCACGTTTGTCTTTTGGATTTACAGGGTGTCATTTAAGTTCCCGCACAACTTTGAAGGCATATATTTCTGAAACTAAAAGTCCAAATCAAACGAGACTCGAAATATTTTTTATCTATAGTATAACAAATAATTATCTATTAACTCTTTTTGATTCGGTCTCCTTTCGCAGCTATGACTTCACGGAGACGCTTCGGGTAGGATGTGACTGTGGTACGCAGGTATTCGATGGAAAGATTGTCCCATTCCACCAGTAATGTCTTCTTCAGAGCCTCTATACTTGAGTGGGGTTTTGCGTTGACCTTCTCCTGCAAGAGCCCATCACGGAAAAGTCAAGCGGGTTCAGGTCTGGGGAGAAATCAGGCCATTCGGATGACTTGATGAAGTCGGGAAAATGGGTCTGGCACCACTCCTGAGTAGTTTTGGCAGTGTGGGCGGGTGCTCCGTCCTGTTAAAAAACCTATTTCTGCCCACCGAAATGCATTTTGGCCCAGGGTATCACATGCTTCTCCAAAATGTCCCGAACGTAGACTTCTTTGTTCACTTTCACCCCCTGATCCGCGAAAACCAGGGAGCACTTCCCGGTTGAGCAGATGGCACCGAAAACCATCACACTGGCAGGATGTGAGGCTGGATGATATGTTCTTCCTTTCTCAGAAGCTTGCTGGGATGTCTGGGCAAGTACTCGATGGTTTTGTGAGTTGAATGCCGCCTCCACAGTGAACAGCTTCTCATCGGAGAAGACAGTGACGAGGTGTTCTCCAGACCGCGTGCGAGCAAGAAGTCGTTTTGCTTTTTCGAAGCGTCTCTACTTGTTGGCGGCCGATAGAATTGCCGCTTTTTGGACACGATATGGGGTCAGTCCAAGCTTCGTTTTGACGATTTGTTCCAAAGCGAAGATGCTCATTTCCACGTCTGACGCCATCTTTCTCATGCTCCTGTGTGGGTTTCGCCTGATCTTCGATTTAACGGCGTTGAACTTCTGAGGAGTGGTTACCGAGACGAGTCTTCCTTATCTGGGACGGTCACTGGTCGTATTTAGTTCCTTGAAACGTTAGATGATGTCGTAAACCGTTCTAAGAGGCACACCGAGGCGTTGAATGATGTCTCTCAGGCTCACATTTTGCTTATGAAGTTCGATAATGGAAGCGCAATGGATGTTAGCCTTCGCCATTTCTCGGAAACACATCCGAATGAGGTAAAACTTGGAAAGTAAGTAAAATATACCTTATTTAACAAAAATAAATTGTATTGGTGCACGAAAAGTGCGACAGCCAAGCTCTTCATGGCGTCAAACTTTTGTGCGGGAACTTAAATGACACCCTGTAGAAGAACACAGCAGAGGCGATACTCGAAAAGATGTAGAATGTTAGAAGCACAATCTGATAAATTTGAAAAGTTGAAGAACAAAACATAGAAGGAAATAGCGTATAATCAGAGATGTCGTTCTATACGGACTTTGGTGATATGGGTTTCAAGGGTACATTTGAATTTGAAAAAAAAAACTTGGAATAGATAGAAATAAAAAATCAAACAGTTTTAAAGCGAATTAAGTGAAACGAATTTCATGAATTTGCCGAGGACCATTAATCTCCAAACACCTTTCGATGTTAAACCAACTTCGGAAAAGTAATTTCTCGCAGACATTTTATTCAGAAAAAGCGCAATTTTCAAAACTCTGGAAAGTTTTCAATAAATGTCTGTGCAAACTCAAAACGAATTTCCCCAGAAGCCATGGGGAATCCACTTGAAAAATGAACCGTTTCGATCCAAGCCACAAACTGAAATGAACTTACAAATCATGACGGCTAAAAACGCGAAAAACATTGCATATGGAAAATTTGAGCCGAATCCTGTGGAACATATTGCATCCGAATTGACGATAAATAGCGGATGCCACAAAATTGCCATAAAAAAGTCGAAAAAGATGTTTCTGGATAGATTATTTCAATTGATAATTGAGAAAAACTTACGAGAGTAAATAATTGATTAACAGAAATCGATATCGTCGAAAATTCGACGGAAATTTGTAGAATATCACATATAGTGATAAAATATAAATGGGAATATGGATTGAGAATGCAATATGAGACAACATTTTCATATAAGTAATTTCAATCATCGAACAATCGCCCACTGGCATTTTCGAGAAGGGAAAAAAAACAAAAAGAGATAACTATATGGAATTGCAGGTTTGTCGTATCTTGTTTATTATAATGATGAATAACAATTTGGATTTGCTCGACAAGTAATTGGATATATATATCAATCAATTTTTCTGGCTCTGAGAAATTGGAATATATTTTTGAAAATAACTTATAAAACGGTTCCCATTGAATGGCGAAATTCATTCGAAATGGTATTATTGCATACACAAAACCACGATGTTGGTAGTCAAAAGATTTTCGAAAAAAAAAAATGCGTTTCAAGCAACCAAACATTTATTTTCAAAAATTTTGCGATTGATTAGAACGCAACAATGCCAATTAGGACACTGATTTTCCAGGTGTTGAAGAAGACTTAATTTTTATGCAAGTGAACATGGAACTCACTGAAAGCGTTAATCAATATCAGATTCAATGTACTCATTTCAATCAGTAAATATTGTGGGCGTCAAACGACTGAATGGAGGCGCGGCGTTCAAATTCGCGAAATCGGCGTAGATTTAAATTTATCGTTGACTGAATATTAAATGCGCGTACACTATAATGCAATGTACGCAGTCTCGCGTACTTCTCGCTGCTTCGAGACGCATTGACATAGCCAATAATTGTTTAAATTTCGTCAAGTCGTTTGACTTCGACAATAAGTAGGCATACTTAGAAATAATGTCGATTTGGACATATGGTTGTTGCAGATTAATAATGATAACGTAACAAAACTTCCATGTTGGGTAATTAGAAAAACCGAGACATAAGACATATCTGAAATGTAAGCCGCTATCAAATTGTATTGAAAATCGACAACATTTCCAATGATTATGTTCGAAATCAATGAATAGCATAGATAAAACAAAAGAGATTGGGATTGCAAGGCTGGAAATATGGACGGAAACCTCAAAAGAAGCATACATATAATAGTATAGAAGATAACATTATTTACATATTCTCACCTGAATACACAAGGAATTCAAAAAGTGCCGTTGCATTTTTCTAGTTTTTGCCGAAGTATTGTCAAAATTCGTATTTAGAACATAAAATGATATC